AATTGGAGCAAATGCACTGGTGTACATGTTGTAGTATCCGAACCCACAAGAAGATATTCATATAAACCGACAAGAGAAATGCGAGAGTTTATCCAACTAAAACGAATAATTAAGTTCGGTTGGTGTTGATATCTAAACTAAGAAACCTAAAGAAACCTGCAATTTAGTATCAAAGGCTCCATATGGGCAGAGCCGGCCCTGAACTGCATATTTTTTGCATTGGCCACAAGCTATAGAGAAAAAATGGGCTGTTTTGCATATTTTTTTCAAAAAATTGGCTGTTTTGTTTTCAAAATTTTTTATGTAAAAATAAGGGCCGCAAACAGCTTGGTTTGCTTGGCTCAAGGCCGGCTCTGCATATGGGTGTCGGCATCTCTTAGGTTGTTTCTCCATTGAATAAATATATGTTGAGCAGGCCTGATCGAATAAAAATGAAAGCTCTTGGACAAAAAGAAATTTGGGCTCTTTTTCTAATAAAAAATGATTAAAAAAAATTAGAATTCTTAAAAAAGGCCTTGTGATTTGTTTTTAAGAAAATGGTCATGGGCCAAAGACTTCGTAAATCATATATACATCTATGGGTTTTAGGGACGCATGGACGATATTAAACCGTGGATTTAGTCCGGTTGAAGTCTCAAACTCAATTATACCGGCCTTAATTGTGAGAATTAAGTCCAATCTGTTAACCCAGCTTCAATTCTCTTCTGGCAGTCACTCAAGATTCCCATTGAACTAAACATAGTTCAAAGCATGTTGCTTTTCTCCCATACATGGCATCTAAAAATTTAAAAATATTTTGGCTCAATCAAACTTAGCAATAAGTACAATAAAGAGAAAACGTTTGTAAACAGGTTTAATGGCTGAGAAGCCATAAATGAAAAAAAATTGATCTACCCTGCCATAAATAAGTCTGAGTGCCATAAAGCACATGATATTCCAAAAATACCCTTAATGAAAAAGGGATATGGCATTGCTGATTTTTTGTTTGTTTTTTTATATCGAAAATCAAAAAAAAATTGAGAAATGAAAATTCTAAAATTCTAATACCAAACCGAATCTGGTTTCTCTGAATTTCTGGGTTAACATCTTAAACCGAAATCCGAAATCGAAAATCTTTTCCCAGAAATCGTCCGATCGAATCTCCGATCCGTCTTCGTTTATTATCGCTCGGCGCGGTGCGCCGGCCTTCTCTGAACCCATGGTGTTCGCCAAATCTCGTTGTAGAGCCGTCATTTGGTAATAAGGTAACTTCTTCTACAGTTTGGGGATTAGGGTTTAGTAATCGATTTGTCAATTCCGTTCGTTTTAGGTTGCACATTGGATAGTAGAGTGGCGTATATATGTCGATTTAGTCTTCTGAGTGTTAAAATTGAACTTGTTGCCGTTGAATCGAGCTGAATCGTAGGTTTGTATAGTGAATCAGTGAGATATGGGACAACTGGTACAATTAGGTTAACTGAATGGAAAGGGACAACTGGTACAATTGGGTTAACTGAATGGAAAGGGACAACTGGTACAATTGGGGTAACTGAATGTAATGGGAAAACCTGTACAATTCGGGTAACTAAATGAAATGGGACAACTGGTACAACAGGGTTAACTGAATAGAATTGGACAACTGGTACAATTAGGATAACTGAGTTGAATTGGGTTAACTGAAAGGAATGGGACAACTGGGACAATTGGGAAAATTGGGACCCGGAATGTATTGGGACAACTGGTACAAATGGGATAACTGAGTTGAATTGGGTTAACTGAAAGGAATGGGACAACTGGGACAATTGGGACAATTGGGACCCGGAATGTATTGGGACAACTGGTACAATTGGGATAACTGATTGAGATAAGTGGGACAACTGGTACAATTGGTACAGTTGTGAGAAAATAGGAAATATTGTTATTCGTTAATGACTTAGTTTTTTTGGTTTTGTGAACAGAAGAGGATGAGCGGCCACACAAACATACATTTTGAGTATGGAGGATGTTATTATAAGGAAAGAGAGGAGTTTAAATGGATATCAAGAAGCTCCATCTATGCTATATCATTTAAAACCTCTTTGGATGAGGTAACATATCCGATGGTTGTAGATGGTATATGCAAGAATATTGGGGTAAACGATAGTAAGAAGAAGCTCAAGTTAAGCTACATTCCATTGGTAGCTAAGCCACTCAATGAGTCATGTATTGTTGATGATTGTGATGTGTATGTCTATCTAACAATTGTGGATAAAGAGGGACTTAGATCTGTATTGCATGTGGAGATAATGGAAGATTTGGAAAGAGATAAGATTCAAGAGTAATGGAATATTTTCATTATCTTGGATTTCTTGCAATATTATGTATTTTGGAGTAATTTGTAACCTAAAAATTAGGTGCAACCTAAAAATTTACGTCCAAACCCAAGCAAACTACGAACAACTAGGACAACTATTTGCAACTAGGACAAAAGAAGGCACACTAGTATAAAGTGGACAATTGGTACAATTGGGACAACTGTGAGAAACTAGGACAACAAGAACAACTACGACAACTATGACAATTTGGACAACTAGGACAACTAGGACAACTATGATAACCAGAACAAACTAATTTCTTTAAATTACTAAACATTAAACAAATACAGCCCTAAACCCTTAAATACTGTATACTCAACGACTACCACTAAACACTAAAATAAACCCATTATTTTCTGAAAATAAGATATACCATTTATGTTTCTAATGAAATAACCCTTATGGTATAAGGCATTCTTTGACAATGGTTTCCATCTTATAAGAGGTTAAACGTAAAAATATAGGAAATACAAAAGTATGGGCGCGAAACCCTTGGGGCAAGTATAAAATGTTCAAGGGTTAAGGGGACAACTAAAAAAAGAATGTTCTTCTTAAAGGACAACTGAAAAAACTTAAAAATCGTCCAAAGGACAACTATGACAATTTTGGGACAACCGGACAACTAGGTACAACTATGATGTCAACAGAAAATGCACGTGTGAGAATGGCGGCTGAGGATAATATTATAAGTTATTTTCCTCTGTATTTGTCTTTTTTGGTTGTCGTTTACCGTTTTCTCTTTCATAGAAAAGGGTCAAAGGGTTCTTCTCCTCTTATTCTCTTTCCTAATTGTTGCCCCCAAATAGGTTTTTTAGGGTTTCCACCGCATAATGGATAAATATCAGATAGCCCTCGCGAAATTGGCTGAAAAGAAGAATGATGGCTCTTCTTCTGTCTTGCCTAAGAAGGATTACGGGATGACCACTAGATGGGGACCCGAAGTCAATGGAGTCAAGACCATTCTGCCATGCCCTGTACAAAAGGGAATTCCAAAGGTTTGTTATTGCGGCTTAGCTCCAATTGGGTGTTTAACTGACAACTCCGGGCTTGACAGGGGCCGGAAATATTACGGTTGCTTCTACGGCTGTTGTGGCCCAAAAAATTTCCCAGAAGTAAGTCAATTGGGTTTTCAATTTTGATTTATAATTTGAGTCTCATCTGAATTTCTGAGTTTCGGGATTTCAGGTTCCCAGTTGTGGCTTCAAGAAATGGTGGGATCTCGCAATACTCGAAGAAATTGAAATGTTGAATGATACTCAAGAAGCCATGCGGGCTTTGTTTGACACCGTTTTCTCCAAGTTAAATCAGTTAGAGTCAAAGGTGGCATCCATTGAAGAAGCTATAAAAAAGCGTTAAGGATGAAGAAGATGAGCTTTTCAGTTTCTTATTGACCTTTTTTCCCCTTGTTATGTTGTTACTCTCCTTTGATTTATTTTGAACTATTTCTCCTAAATAAAACAACGCAGTTGTACCAGTTGTCCTAATATATCGCATTAAGTTATACGAGTTGTCCTAAATAAAACAAGGAAGTTGTACGAGTTGTCCTAAATAAAACAAGGAAATTGTACCAATTGTCCTAAACCCTAAACAGAAAACATAAGATTGTACCACAAAGAAAAACACATAATTTTAAACATAAACAAGACATTTTACTTCTTGGCTTCATGTGGTTGGGCTCCTTGAACATGTGAAAAACCCTGGCTGTACTCGGTTGGACCGAAGTAAAGCTTCTCAGGCACCATCAGTTGACTACCATCATCGGCATCCTGAGATAAAAACAAGAAACACAATCATATGAGATTTAGTTGTCCCAGTTATCCCAGTTGTCCCAGTTGTCCAAATGCCAAACGTAATTTTGTGCAAATAGTTGTCCTAGTTGTCCCAGTTGTCCGTACCGGCTGGTTCTGCTTCCTTCAATGGTTCTTCTTCACCCCGAATTTCTTCGTGGGTTGTTTCTTCATCATTCGCCAGAGGGTTTGGTGTTATTCCGGGTTCTTTATCTTTCATATCTGCTTCTTCGCTGCGCTTGGGTACAGATTCGTTCGAATCATATACCACGCCCTTAAGTCGAATTTTAGCTATCTAGTTAGGTTGGATTTAGGATTTGTCTTGATGAAGTTAGAAGGCTAAATTATGTAATATATAGTACGGGAATTGAAGAAAGGGAAGTTGAAGAAGAAGCAGTTACAAAATCAAGTGTCGTTTCAAGTTAAAGGGGAAATTGCAGAATTTTCGAAAGAAAGAAGGAAGTGGAGATAGCCGTTTGGGGAAGATGAAGGGAGAAAGAGGAGATCGTATTTGATTTTTGGTAAGTTTATCGAATGTGTTTGGTTTTGGAAATTAAATCCATTTGGTTCGGTTTTGTTTACCTAATTTTCGGTTTAATAATTTCAATTTTTTATTTCTGATTTCAAATTGATTAAGTTTTTGTTTTGGACAGAAATTCCATTTTTTCTGGGTATTCGGGTCGGACATAAATCGGGTGGATTTTACCTTAGTATTTTTGTAATAAAAGAGACACATAGGGAGAAGGGTATAATTTACCTGGTTTTTGTTAATAAAATTAATTCATAAAGAAATTAATTTTTAAAGATATGGTTTATCAGCCAACTTTTTGGTCTCTTATGGCTTTTCAGCCGCGCGCTCTTGTAAACAAGACTTTATGGGAAAATCAGACATTCATAACTCCATAGACCAATGGCATAGCATTACTTTCAAAACATTTATACTTCCTTTTGATCCAACCCATCATCTGTGTATCTAATTATCTATACACCCAAAAAAAAAAAATGGCTGCTTACACCAAATCCTTTCCAATATATCAATGGTTACTTATGTATAAGCAGCATAAAGATGATCGAAAACAATCAGTGTGACTTTTGCAAAGAACTGATGATCTTGGGCACCCAAATTTTAAATCAATCTTTGCGGCTCTCCAAACAATCCTCCAGGTCAAGTTCTAAGCCAACACGATTCCTTATGGACGCAGCTGCGTGGCAAGACGACGTCGTTTTACAGATCCTCGCCAATTCCTGAAACCTCTCCACATCAAACTTTTGTCTCTTCAACAGCTTCCTCTGCCTCGAGAGGAAGAGTCTCTTCATGAAATCCTGGTAAGTCGGATCTCTCGAAGTTATCAAGAAATAGGCGTAACCCACGATGATCCCAGTCGCTGTAGCGAAGAACGTGATTGGTTCCATCACATCCCACGAGAATTCCCAGAAAGTGAGCCTAACGAATAGACCAATCTGAACCATCGATGTAGCCAGACCGCACCAGAGAATCTTCCTCACTTGTCTGTGAGCCAATACATCGATCTCTTCCTTCATGGTTCTCATCTTGTTGAATTCGTCCTTGATTTGCTCTTCCTCGGGATCCTCCTGATCCAGAGCCATCGCTCGTCTGATTAGATCCACCACCTGAGAAATTTTCAGATTTTAAAACAAAAAACTCGATGGTTAAGTGAGTGAGACCGAGAAATTAGGGTTTATCGATTTGGGGATTTAGACCGAGAAATTAGGGTTTTTTCGATTTTTCTCGGACCTTATCTGGGTGAAGATAGACTTTATCCCGGAAGATCAAGACGACTCCGGCGTCGTCGAGGACACGAGCGAAGACGTGAGCTTGTTCGGGGGATCTAGCGATACCCATTCCCTGAGAAGCTTCTAAAAGTGCATTGTAAGGGACGACGTCTCTCTCCGCGATACCAGCAAGCTTCTTCTTCATGTCTTCAACATTCACTAGCCTCATTAGCCTCTTCGCCTCCGCTACTGTTAACTCCTTATTCTTATTCTTCTCCTCCTCTTCCTCCGGCGATATTTTGACGGTGAGGCTCCTTAACCCACCACCACCACTAAGCCATGTCCTCTGCGAAGAAGCTGTAATCGCGCAGGACATTGCCGAACGCCTTATCAGACCCATTGACCACATTTCTATCTATCTATCTCTCGCGATTCACTTCGTATTTTCACGATTCGAAGATCTGAGCTCCTTGATTTGCGTGAAAGCGAAACCAAAAACAAAAAACGAATCGAAATTAGTATGAAAATTTTTATGATTCGAATCGATACGCAGTGACTTAACGCGCTCCAATTAAGAATCTCTGTTATAAATTTCGTAAGATTACACGATTAGGAAAATACGAAAAAGAAAAAGAGGAGAAGCACGAAGCCATTAACTTTGTTTATGGTATGGAAAAGGTAAAAGGAGAAGAAAATAGAGTTAATTAATTAACCATTGTTTGTTTTGAAAGAAAAACTAATATGGGAACTAATAACCATTGTTTGACTTATTAGCATGGAGAATGGCTTTCTGAATTCCGAATCCACAACTTAAATTTGATTTTGTCGTTCAAGTATACAAGTATGTAATAAAGTAATAATTATGGGAGTTTTATTTATCCAACTACCCTCCTGACAAAAAAAAAAGAAAAAAAAAAGGATTATTATCCAAAGACACTTATGTACGACCTATCCTTTTCATCTGCAGTTGAGTTTGACGCGGAATACTGTATATACGGATCAAGTTCATGTAAAACAACAGTTACAACACGTACAGGTGCACTGTAAGAGACTCCATTTTGGATCAAGAAACTTTATTAAACATCAATTTTACGCTGAATACTTTCATTTTCCACGAGTGCAAGAAAACTAATGTTTGCTTTTCTTTACTAAGGTGGAAACCCCAAGTTAGAAACTCACATTCTCTAGCTTTCCATTCAATAATATTCGTTGTGAATGCTGTCATATGTCGAATTGAAAATTCTGATCCCTGGAAACCTTTTAAGATTTTTAGCAAATGGCAATAACCAAACAGAGTGTCCATGACTATATAAATAGGAAACATATTAGTATATTAAAACTTACATTTTGATTGCATAGAAAACTGCTATAATTACATTTATAGGCGATCTAAATCATCCACGACTATGTGTAATTCGACATACCGGAACGTACCTCAACAGTTTTTTTTGTAATGTGAATGAAGAAGAAGAACAAAAGAATTTAGCTACTATCCACCGCTTGTGAGTTGTTGCACCGGTCTCTCTCTCTCTATCTCTCCTGATGCATTCTATTGAATAGAAGGCTAGAATATGCTCTCCCTTGTTTCGCCCTTTTTCTCTCCCTAAGAATAGCTGCGATCGTTATACGACCTAAGGTCCAAATTCGTTATGTAAACATTTGTTTCTTAGCGATTTAATTTAAACCTAATTCCATAGAAAGAAAACTATATTTCAGGGCATTTTTTCTAGTAGTGTCAATTTCAACGTTACTATTATTAAATCAACAACAAGCAAATAAATAAAAAATGAAATAGGTGTTGGGCAAACAAATTAGAGTTTGGACCAAGTTATTAAATATTTAATGAGGGTTTAGCGTGCAAACAAAGAAGAGGTCAAGATGTCGACAATAGAGAGAACCCTGAAAATTTATAGGGTGGTTCTGGTGATATATGATGGTTAGTCTTACCATAAACTTTTTTGCTTTCATTTAATAAAACGATAAATGCGTTTGAACCGATTAGATATTCATGCTACATTTTGAGTCGACTTTGCAATTATGGTACTTTCGTAAACGGATAAGTTAATTACCAATAATGATGGCATGATGAGTTGTAGATTGTATCTGAGCAGAGATGATAATATTAATTTTAAACTAATACTTGGTTAGCCTAGCCATATAATTATCAAACATATTTTAATCTCATTAAAATAGTTTCAGTCTACCAACTTGTCTTTTTAGAAAACCAAAGGAATTCGAAGAGTGGCAAAAATGTTGGGTTAATGAATGCAAATTGCACGTATATTAATATATATGAATTAAAAAGAAAATGGAAACGAGATTAGTTAGGTAAGTTAGGATAATAGTTTCACTTAAAAAATTGCACTGATGATTTCTGTGAAATGTCAAACCTGACACAAGTCGGACTATACCACCAAGTTAATCAATCCGTTTCACAAATATATAGTTTTTGTTCAGATATGAAAAATAAATGCAATAATCTTATATGCTTCTCAAGCCCGTGGGTTAATGTCATAAAAGCCCAATTGAATATTCTATGCTTCACAAGAACAAACCAAAAAAAGAGAGAAAAAATTAAGATGAACAAACAAAAACATCACTTGAGAGCAAAGATCTGGGCACCGCCACAATACAACGATCGATGCATACAATAGGAAAGCTTGAAAGCTCGATGAAGATGAATGCAAGGATGCGTTGTGGCCTCCAGACGGCGCTCTTTATCCTCCTTCTGATTCCGGTGATGATTCCGGTCGGTGAGGCGATCTGGCTAGACGTGCCTCCCACCGGAACAAAGTGTGTATCCGAAGAAATTCACAGCAATGTCGTCGTTTTGGGCGATTATCTCATCATCTCAGAGGACAATTCCAACTTACCCACTATCTCCGTCAAGGTAATAATTGTCTCTGATTTCTGTTCTGATTATCTCGCTTGTTCAGTGATTTGATCTGCATTTTGTTACTTAATTTCAACTGATCCATAAGTAATTTCCCTCGAAATATTTGAAATTGATCACGAGGAAGGCGTGTGTTAATGCCCGATCCAAGTTTCCTTATTTAGAAAATTGTGCTCATCATGATGTGCATGCCTTTCTTCGATTGTTTATAATGTTTTTTTTTTTTTTTTTTTTTGCGAATTTATTTGAAATACTCAGATGCTTGTTTTTAGCTTAATCCTTCTTTTAAAGTAACATCAAGACCCTAATAAGTAACTGGCTATGAAGATTGGGAAAAAATGCAATTTTTTTTTTGTGTAGGCTGTTGATGAAATCTACGTTTGTGATGTTGTTTATTTAGGACTGACCATAATTACTACCTCAAGTGTTTTTATCTTATATTGAGAAGGTATTTGGTATTCACGGTTTTTTGCTTAGTTCCACATAACTTGATGGATTCTTCTACAGAGTGCCATTGAATTAATGTAAGACCACTCCTTGAAGTGGAACTTCGAAAAGATATCAAAATATGGAAAATGTGGAACTGGTCCTGGATTTTGAGAAATTTTGATTGATTGCAGGTGACATCCCCATATGGAAACAATCTGTACCACATGGAAAACGTAACGCATGGCCAATTTGCATTTACAACCCAAGAATCCGGGAACTACATGGCGTGCTTTTGTGCAGATTCAAAGAGTCACGGAAATCAAAATGTTAGCATCAACGTTGACTGGAAGACTGGAATCGCTGCTAAGGATTGGGACTCTATTGCTAAGAAAGAGAAGATCCAGGTGAGCTTTCCAAAGGATATTACTACAGTTTAGAGACTTGTTGTCTATGTTTTGCTTCAAAAACATTGTCACTACTATCCTTGGTATATCCGCAAAAAAAATTCTGTAAAGTCTGCGAGATTTTGATTTGCTTGTTAACGTAGGGTGTGGAGCTGGAGATTAGGAAACTTGAAGGCGCGGTCGAAGCCATCCATGAAAATTTACTCTACCTAAGAGACAGGTAAAATCATGCATTCACTCATTGCTCTTGTCTATTTGCTGACCCTCATTCTCAAGTTTTTGTGGATGAAAATGGCAATTTTGCAGAGAAGCAGAGATGAGGACAGTGAATGAGAAAACCAACTCGCGTGTAGCTTGGTACAGTATAATGTCGCTGGGTATTTGCATTGCTGTCTCTGGTTTACAGGTAGTCTACTTGAAGCAATATTTCGAGAAGAAAAAGCTTATATAATACTTTCACTCATCGAGATCCTTTGAAGACTTTTTTTGTAGAAGGAATAATATTTTATTCATTCAGTTCCTCTCCTTTCTTTTCTTGTTCACACTCTTTTTGACTGATGCTGTAAAATTTTCTCCTCGGATTTTTCTTGTAGCTTCTCTTTCTTTAGGTTTTATCATTTCTAATTCTTGAAAACCGGATAAACAAACGAAAGAGATTGTCTCTCGCAAACTGGTTGGGGAAAAGTTTCTTGAGTGTCCGAATAGTACATGTTATTACAAAATTTGAACTTTATGTTAGTTTGGGTATATAAACAAATAAGCCCAAATCTCGGACTAGGCCCGTTAAAGAAACCCTAAAACACAAAAGAGATATAAATGAGCGTTTCTCTCATTTCGTCAGTTCGGCGACATTTAGGGTTTTCTCTTTGCCGCAGCAAAAATGCCGGCAGGTCATGGAGTTCGGGCGAGAACGAGGGATCTGTTCGCGAGACCGTTCAGGAAGAAGGGTTACATCCCACTCTCCACGTACCTGAGGACCTTCAAGGTCGGTGATTACGTCGATGTTAAGGTGAATGGTGCGATCCACAAGGGTATGCCTCACAAGTTCTACCATGGCCGTACTGGTCGTATCTGGAACGTTACCAAGCGCGCCGTTGGTGTCGAAGTCAACAAACAGGTCTTTTACAACTCATAGATAACTTTTCAATTATAAGATTGGAAATTGTTAATCTGTGATTTTATGATGAAAAATGTGCGGTTAGAGTGTACATCTGAGCTCAGGATTTGAGTTTGATTCTCATAGCTTTTAATTTCTTGTATGCCTTTAGCTATTTTGTTGGATTTTGAATCCTATACTATTCAGTATCATGGTTCTAGATACAGTTTTAGATTCCAAAATGGAATTCTTAGGTTTCGTTTTGTCTTCGAGCATTGTATTGTATCAAAATTGTTTCCATGGATCGAATACATGAAATGCTATCTATTTGGCTTCGTGATTTTACCAATGCTGTAATTTGGTTCCATGGCTATCGTAATGCTGTAGCTAGGCTTAAAGTCTATGGATTATATGCTGTAATTTTTGAATATCCTATTGACAACCATAGAAACGTTTATGCAAGTGCCTATCTTGGTGGTTATCATAATGACTGACTTATTATATATGTTTTGTGGCGGTGTCTCAGATTGGAAACAGGATCATAAGGAAGAGGATCCATGTGCGTGTGGAGCATGTGCAGCAGTCGAGGTGCGCAGAGGAGTTCAAGCTGAGGAAGAAGAAGAATGATGAGCTCAAGGCTGCAGCCAAAGCCAAGGGTGAGACGATAAGCACCAAGAGACAGCCTAAAGGTCCCAAACCAGGATTCATGGTCGAAGGTATGACCTTGGAGACCGTCACTCCCATCCCTTACGACGTCGTCAACGATCTCAAAGGAGGCTATTAGTTCTACTTTTCCTAATGTTTTTTCTCAAGACTTTTTTTGGCAGTTTTGTATTTTGAGTGTTCTTTCATGTGTCTTGGCTACAATTAAAATGTCTCTAGGACGTATTTCAGACACATAATGAAACAGAGCTTTGCCTCTTTTATAACTATAATTTTCTCTCTCTTTCATTGTGTTATCATTAGGTCCTCACTTTTAGTTAAATGAACAGTAAGTTAGCTAGGCCCGACCCAGTCAAGCCCAGTATTAATAAATACTAGTATGAGTCTAATTTGAGATATCTTTGTCGTGGGGGCCACAGATCACCACGCGCTTACACGTGGCGATAACTTAGTGTCTCAGCGACAGCAACACACTCTCCTCTTTTAACTTGTTTGAAACACTGAACTCAAAACTCAAAAGAGTCAATCTCCTCCGTTATGGCATTGGCGGTCTCTGTCATTTTCTGCTTCTTCTACAGATAGAATCCAGCTGCTTCTTCTTTTCTCTTGGTTATTCTGTTTGCTTATTTGAATCTCCTAAAATAGACAAGAGAAAGAAACCTCATTTCATCCGTTATTGCCCTAAATTTCTTATAGGCCATTCGCAATTTCAGGAATCACTCACATTCGATTCCAAACTCTCTCTCTCCAATAATCTTACAATCTCTCTTTCTCTCTCTCCGTGATTCTTCTTCTTCTCTACTGACGAAGACTACCCGCAATTTCAATTTGTTTTTTCTTCAAAAGAAAAAATAAGAAAAAAGTGAGACCCAGAATACCTATCGACGGTTTAATCGGAATCAGACTTGCTGAGCTTGCATTTCCCAGTTTTTTTAGATCTACAAAATCTCCTCTCTTTTCGTTTCCTTTCCTCCAGGATTTCATTACATTTGAATTTTTAGGATCTGCGTCAAAATCCATTAAGTTCCGGGATTGGATTATTGGTAGAATCATCCATCTAAGTTCGAATTTGGTATAAAGATCACAAACAGATTTGATATAAAAGCTCGAATCTTTGTTCCCTGTGGGGATTGGTGGTAGGAGGATTTGCTTTTCAGTGAGGAAGAACAAGAGGTTAGAAGCATAAGGAGGCTAATTAAACCAAGCAGTTTCCTGATTCCGATCAGGAAACTGTGGAGAATTATGGGTTGCAATTGCTCGAAAGGAACACGAGCCAATGATAGCGAGAACAACAACAACAATGTGAAGGAGAGAAGACGCAAGCCTAATAGTAAAACCACCCCCAAGAAGAAGAAAAACTCTGCTTCCTCGACCAAAGCCGATGTAGGATCCGAGGAAAGAGCCGGCTTTATCAACAACGAACCCACCTTTAGGTTGTTATTACCCACTGATGCCAAGAACAATGCTTCTTCTACTCCCATATCATCTGATGAGGCTGAGAAGAAGGCGAACCTCGAGAGAAAATCTTCCAGATCGGTGTTCCAGAGACGGCCCACCATTGACACCAATAAACTAGGGACGCTGCAACAACCTAAGATGACTAGAATAAGCAGTGTTAGTAATGGAGAAAGAGGAGCTCAGGTTATGGCTGGTTGGCCTTCTTGGCTAGCTGCTGTTGCTGGAGAAGCTATCAATGGATGGATTCCGCGTAAAGCAGATTCTTTCGAGAAGTTGGAAAAGGTGAGTCCTTTTTTATCTTATATATCTGGAATTCCTGATGAGATCATATTGATTAACATTGCTGGTTGATGCTAGATTGGACAAGGGACGTATAGCAGTGTGTACAAAGCCCGGGACTTGGAGACGAATCAATTAGTTGCACTGAAGAAAGTGCGGTTTGCTAACATGGATCCCGAGAGTGTTCGGTTCATGGCAAGAGAAATAATTATCCTACGAAGGCTTAACCATCCCAACGTTATGAAGCTTGAGGGTTTGATCACTTCGAGGGTATCAGGGAGCATGTATCTTATATTTGAATATATGGAACACGATCTCGCAGGCCTTGCTTCAACCCCTGGGGTTAAGTTCTCTGAGGCACAGGTACTATTTCATATGCAATTGGGGATACTATAATGTGGTTGGTGGGTTCTCATCTAAAATATTTGTGCTTTTGCAGATAAAATGCTATATGAAACAGCTGCTTCATGGTCTAGAACATTGCCATAGCCGAGGTGTATTGCATCGTGACATCAAGGGCTCTAATCTGCTGCTTGACCATAACAACAATCTCAAAATTGGTGATTTCGGTCTTGCCAACTTCTACGGGGTCCACCAGAAGCAGCCTCTCACTAGCCGTGTTGTGACTTTGTGGTACCGTCCACCTGAACTATTACTCGGGTCAACAGACTATGAAGTTACTGTGGATCTGTGGAGCACAGGATGCATTCTAGCTGAACTCTTTACTGGGAAGCCGATCATGCCTGGAAGAACCGAGGTAGAACAGTTACACAAGATCTTCAAACTCTGTGGCTCACCTTCTGAAGAGTATTGGAAAAGATCGAAACTTCCACACGCCACCATCTTTAAACCTCAGCATCCTTACAAGCGGTGTGTAGCCGAGACATTTAAGAGTCTTCCATCTTCAGCGTTGGCCCTAGTTGAAGTTCTTCTATCTGTAGAACCAGATGCCCGTGGAACCACAGCTCATGCACTTCAAAGCGAGGTAAAAGCTATGGAAATCTACACTGAACTGCCATAAGATTCCACTTATCAACATATATTAAATCATAGATTCCAGCTTCTAAAGTTTGCAGATTTCTGACGTATAGAACTTTGAATATGCAACTCTATATGCATCTGTCTCACACTTTTGTTCTTTTCTCAGTTCTTTACGACAAAGCCTTTTGCAAGCGACCCATCAAGTTTACCAAAGTACCAACCGAGAAAGGAAATTGATGTGAAGCTTCGAGAGGAGGAAGCAAGACGGTAAGATCCAGATTCTACTAGTATCAATGTTTATGTTAAAACAACTATCTCTTGTATGCCTTAATGAACACTGACGCATCCCAATTTTCCTCTATCCCAGAAAGAAAGGCACGAGCGGTAAACAGAATGAGTCGAAACAAGTATCTAAAGCTGTGCCGGCTCCAGATGCCAATGCCGAATCACTGGCATCAATACAAGTACGTTTGATTCTAGCATTGTACACATAATATATGTTTTATGTTTATATTCATGTAACCTCAAACTTCTGGTCTATGTTCTTGTTTTTAAAAGAAACGTCAAGGGCAGAATAACCAGACAAGCATGAGTGAAAAGTTCAATCCTAATGAAGATGCGGCTGGCTTCCGTGTCGAAGCACTGAAGAGTGGAACCGCACAAAACGGTTACACGCGTTATGGAGTGTCTTCGGTTAATAGAAATGGAGAGAATGTTATGATTGGTTCGAGTCGGTCTCCTCCTAGAAAAGAACTGAGAACACAACGGTCTTTTGTTCAACGCGGAGCAGCTCAATTGTCAAAATTCTCAAACTCGGTAGCTGCTAGAGATGGATCACATTTCGCTATAGCGAATCCACGGTGGCTTGAAGACAGGTATAACAATAATAACGGAAGGCAAAACGATGGCGATTGGTCCCAGCGTTTGATGGTTAAGCCAAGAGATTCGACAAAAGACAGAGAATCTATACCGGTAAGAATAAGAACATCTGAACCGTTTAATGGTGCTTTTCTTTGCAGTGAAACTCTTTTTGTGGGATAAATTAAATTTTTGTTGTTTAGGGTCACGGCGAAAAGACAGAGAGAATGAACTACTCAGGGCCATTGGCTTCTGCAGGAGGAAGCTTAGATGATATGTTGAAAGAACATGAAAGACAGATTCAGGTAGCGGTTCGAAAAGCTCGGGTGGACAAGAAGACGACTAGGCAAGATAATGCACAGACTCGAGGGTTTATTGCTGCAAATAGCAGGTGACATTACAGACCAGACGATCGAAGAGAAGAAAAGAAAGAAAGGAAGAACGAAAGTTTGAGGTTTTGCAATGTAGAGTCAATTGATTGATGAGTTCTTGTGTGAAGTCGAAAGCTAAAATTGTTTAATTTGTTTAATTTGCTTCATTCTTTAAAATCTATTATCAATGTTAGTAGAATTTTCCTCTAGTAAAGTCGTGATTGTAGTTAAAAAAGAAAAGAAAAAAAGGAAAATCATTATTGCCCTGGGAAAATTTTAACAGAAACAAACTTGGATCCGTTTCTTGTATGAAACGTTTTTGAGGATGTGCCAAAACATGGTGTCACTTTAAAACATTTTTTATATTTTTTTTTTGGATAGTCAGAATATAACTAATTCTAACCGAATTACCGACTCGTACCCAAAGCCATTACTATATATACTGTATATTCAAATAGATACAGAAGCGAGTCTACAATGAAATGTAAGCGTCGACCAACTACCAACAAACTTGAAGTGAAGGCTTCTTCGTCTCTCTTACTTCTTGCAGTAACTGAAAGTAGCTGCTCTGTCTTTCTCAATCAGCCTTATCGTTCCCTTCCCTTCATGTCTAAGCATAAAACCCCACTTCCTATTTTAACCTCAGCATGTATATTTTTAAAAAACTATTAAACGAACAAGTCGTCCGTAAATTCTTTAAACCCAATTTTTTTTGTTTTCGTATTCGAATCAGACAATGAGGCCTAAAACAAGCCATAGCCAAGAGTTCAAGCTTCTCCTTGTTTGTCTTCTTGCTGCTTTCATTCTCATCTTCATCGTGAGCTCAACCTTGACATCTTCACAGGAACACCAGACTCCACATGAGACGACGAGATCAGGGCCTTGCGCTGGTGCCTGCAATAAGCTACCGCGTTCCCTCGCACAAGCCCTGATCCATTACTCGACTTCGGTTATCACACCGCAACAAACGCTCAAGGAAATAGTGGTCAGCAGTAGAGTACTCGACAACAAGTCACCCTGTAATTTCTTGGTATTTGGTCTAGGCCATGACAGCCTCATGTGGAGCTCTCTCAACTACGGAGGCCGAACGGTTTTTCTTGAAGAAGATGAAGCATGGATAAGACAGATCAAGAGGCGGTTCCCGATGCTAGAATCATACCATGTAACATACGACAGTAAAGTACACCAAGCAGACAATCTCATACAAGTCGGGAAAGGGCCTGAATGCACAGCCATTGGTGATCTAAGGTACTCAATGTGTCAACTCGCACTCAAGGGTTTGCCTGCACAAATCTACGAGACTAGTTGGGATCTCATCATGGTCGATGCACCCACTGGCTACTACGACGAGGCTCCTGGGAGGATGACGGCAATTTACACGGCGGGAATGATGGCGAGGAACAGGAAACAGGGAGGAGAGACCCATGTGTTTGTGCATGATGTGAACAGGGAAGTAGAAGACAACTTCTCCATGGCCTTCTTGTGTCAAGGGTACATGAAGAAACAGGAAGGAAGACTAAGGCATTTTGTGATCCCTAGCTATAGAGATGGATCAGAATCAGAATCAAATAGACCCTTTTGCCCGTAGCCAACACATGCTAAACTCTCCTGTCACTTCGTAAGAAACTACTCTATTACTGTCCCAAGCCAAGTGTTCCCATAAAAGAACATTGACAGACCCGTTTCGGGCTTGTATAAGAAATTTAGAAAGCTGATCGGGAGAAAACAGGAATACGAATACAAAATGTAATAAGGAAATTGTATTATTGATAAGAAAGAACATACGATCTTACTACACAATACAAAAAAAAAAGAGCCAAAATTCAGCAAAGAAGTCAAAACAGTTGAAAATCAAATCTGATTACATAAACACCAAAAACCCTGCAAACTCCCGAGCCTTCAATCCCTGCCTTCTAGTTCAAACATGTCCCACACTTTCCCTTTGAACTATCTGTGATGCAGGAGGAAATTCTTAGGTAAGAGGGCAGATAATTGTGCTACAGCGGTAAAGGTTCAGTTTGGTTGACGAGAAATAAAAAAAGTATCCATGCTGGTTCTAATAGGAAACACATATAATGAAGATTTGTCATATTCAACTAGCTTTTACCTGTTAACGAAGATAGCGGTTGGACTGCCCGGAGATGGAGGATTCTGCTTGAGAAGCGAAGCATGTTGACCAGCTTTAGCAACATCATTGGGGTCACTTGCAGAATATATTTCAACCTCTTCAAGACCAAGTTGCCGTTTGATCAAGTCCATGTTACTCTGAAGGACTTCCATCTCTCCAAAAGCCAACCTCAAATTTAGAGCCTGAGTGCCAAGAGCTATTGCCTCGTCCTTCTTGAATTTAAGGAAAGGCATGCAAAGCTTCTGAATCTGCTTGAAGTTTTCTGTTTGTCCATCCCTCTGCAATATCTCCCTTAGTTCTGCGAGTACCTCTGCATCAGGGGCAAAACAGCGTGTTTGTTGGTCAAATTTGCTTTGCAGAATCTTGAGGCAGTGAGCTCTCCATCCATCAAATTGCTCATTCACATATACAAGGCCTTTAAGCTTTTCTTCTGCCACTGCGGTTACTTGCGCACCTTTCTTAGCAGCCTTCTTGGAACCTTGGATCTGTTTTGTTAGAAGCTTTCTCATTAAGACGATAGAATCTTGCAAATATTTGTTAGCACCCTTGAGAACCAAATCTGGCTCATCTGATGTAGGCCACCCTGCCGATACCACAGAGCCTTCTTTCTTCAAAAGCTTCCTCCAAACATATTCTGCAAACTGGGGACAGATTGGTTCAATAAGGCGTGTTTGCACATCCATAAATCTCATTACCAAGTTATGGTTCATGCCGCCACTGCCGCAAGAGTGTCTATACTCATCTCGAGCAGCTTGTAAGTCGTAAAACCCATTCTTAAGTGCCTCCCTAAACAAACAATCTTTGTAGGCTTTTTCAGTCAATCTGATAGATATGTTCATGTCATTTTCAAACACTTTATCAGCATATGTCGATGGAGGGCCCGTTCTCAAAGAGGATTCAGCAGCCAGAACTTCTTCCATCCATGTGAGCTCTTTTGTCAGACGCAAAATTGCAGCATTTGCGGTTTCAAATACAAAATTTGCATCGTCAACGCCATCACCAGCATCAGCCAACGAAAACCTTGTAGCAGTGGCAGAGAATTCTTCAATAGCCTGTCGCAGGGTTCTGAAATTGCCAGTTGACTTTGACATTTTTTCAGAATTCAACATAATGTGACCATTACATCTAATGCCACGTGGCCAGTTGCGACTCGCCATTAGTGCAGTGTGGTTGTAGATGAAAAATGTCAGATGATTCTGAATAAGATCCTTCCCTGAAACTCGAAGATCTAGCGGGTACCAGTAGTCAAATTCCTGCTTCATATTACTTAACACATCCGACGGAATGTCAGATGATTTTGGGTACTGACCATCACAGAAGAGATATTCCCAGACTTCATCATTCATCTGCTGAGGGCGAATTAAAGACTTGCTGCCTTTATACATGTCTCCATCGTGAAAGATATGGGCAACTGTATAATACGCCATATAAAGAGAAGAATCAGATAAGGATTCCACAAGGAACTGTTCATCCCAGGGAATACGAGTTCCAAGACCAAATGACCGTGAGCAAGCCCACTGATTGAGCCAGCTCAAAGTGTGCTCAAAGCCATGCCTTGTTTCTTCTGAGTAGAGATTCATGTTTGATAGGCAATCCTCAGCCATTTTCCGCCATTCTGATTCACCGTACGTGATGTACCACTGATCTGTAAGAGCCACAACACATTCATCACCTGATCTTGACATTACCGGCTTCTCGGGTTCACTGTATATGATTGCCTCGCGAGATTCTATGAGCTTCGCCTTAATAATGGGCTTGATTTCCTGAACTTTCCTACCAACAAACTCTCCAATAAGCATGGTTCCTTCGGTGAATCCTTTCAGGTACGTCAACCTTTTTGCCTCTGCAAGCTTTTCCTTATCATTTTGACTTTTAATTTTCAGATCCAAGCATACCTTTTCCGCAGCCTTATCCCCAAACTCCGGAATGTTAATAATCGGTACAATATCGGAGGGTACCCACTCATCTTTCACACCATACTTTGCTCGAAGTGCAGGCTTTGCATTTAGATCATGTAGAGCCATGTAATCATCAGGGGCATCGCTAGGCACGCTGGTGACAATGCCAGTACCTTTGTTGGTCAGAATAGTTAACATGGGCAGAGCATAGATGATCTCGTTCACTGCCAGAGGAGATCTCAAAGGGAGTCCAATCAGATCATACCCGGTCAACTCGACCAAGCATGAAGGCTTCTGAGGGGTCTTCGAGAAGTTCTGGTAGGCAAGATTGAGTGCGGCTCTCTCAGTAAGGATAAAGACATCACCTGATTCATTGATTTCATAAGCTCCATATTTCCCATCAGGCAAAACCCAAGCGTTTGTTTGTCCATACATGGTCTCAGGCCTCAAAGTAGCTGCAGCTAAAAACACTCTCTTTCCTTCCAAAGGACCCAGTTTCAGAGGAAATGGCTTCTGTACTTCCATCTTGATAAGAGTGTACTCTTGAGGCTGAACACCTTCACCAGTAGCACGGTCGTGATCAGCACAAGGCTGGCCATCTAAAGGTGAGAAAATCGTATACCTCCGGTCTTTGACAATCTTTCCCATAGATTTCAACTTCCTCATCTGCCACCTCACAAAAGCATCGAAAAACGGATTAACATCAGTGGTCACGAATGACCGTCTCCAATCACAACCCAATCCATATGCCCTGAGATCTTCAACAGCCAATGGGGGAAAGTAGTACAACCATTCGTACGGATCTTGGAACTTCGCTATCTCACTGTCAGAGAGACCAAAACTGCGCATAATCTCCCACTGATAAACCTGTCCACCAGATTTCGCAGCCACCTTTGACTTCTTTCCCCTGAACTGATCAGGTAAAGCTGGCGTATCACTAGTCTCCTCCTCAGCTTGAGGAGCTTGTTTGGTGTTGTCTTCAGCAGTAAACACAGGAGGATTCCCAAACTGCTGGATCTCACGAGACAGCTTATCCGCAGAAGCTTTAATTGGCATACCAGTACAGTGGAAGCCAAATGGAAGAAGAACATTAGCACCTCTCAGTCTATGATAAGCAGAAGCAAAATCAACCTTGGAGAGTGAGAAGGCATGCCCAATGTGTAGATAACCATTCATATACGGGAAAGGGAAGGTTGAGAAGAACTTTTCTCCTGGTTTTGGAAGATCCTTGCGAGATTCAGCCCTGAATACTTCCTCGTCTTCCCACCATTTACGAACCGCAACCTCAATCTCGAGAAGACGATCTCTCCTCACGTAGCTTTTCGTGTCAGATGCCATTCCGTGACAATGCCTGCCGAAAGAGAATCATTCAAAATCAAACAAAGAAACACCATTTCTACATAAATTGAACCATAAGATGATCGAAACAATAGAAAATTGAGTCAAAAGAATCACAGACAAATTTCGCTTGAGGGAAAACAAAAGACAAATTTTGAACGCAACCAAGGTGAGAACATTACCTTGAGTAATAATTTCCAGGAATAATGAATCGAGCCCACCGGGAAAGCAATCCGAGATTTGGTAGAGACGGAGCCACAGTGGGAGATGGGATAACGAAGATGATGTCTAGGGTTTTTCCGCATATAAGGAAAATGAAGAGAAACCCAAATCGTTGGACTAAACCGCCGTCACGTCCAATTTGTCAAACGGAATCTGATCCTATTGAACCAGCCTCGGACCAGAACCGGTTCCCCGTCAAACCCAGTTATTTTTTGTGTTGGGCCAATCACAACCAAAGCCCAGTTATTTAGGAACGTTTTGTCTCTATAATGGAAAATTGTGCGGTAAATGACTCCATATGCTTAGAATATGGTAAGTAACAAAGAAAGGAAATGAGAATTAGAAACAATTGCAAGAAAAAGGAATTTTTTTTAGTTTTAACCAGGAAAAAAAGGAAAGTATTGCTAGATGATTTTCAAATTTCTCCTCCTTTGAAGTGTTGCAGGTTTTTGTTCTTTGAGGACGATTGGTGTTGATTTTGTGACTTTTTAAAATTAACTACATATGTAAATGCACAGACGCCAAAGTAGACATATGGATCTGTGTTTGACTGTATTATGTTTGCATATATGGTTAACAAAATAGAGTGAATGGTGACTGGACGCTCATAGATCATATATGGTGGATCGTTCGATAGAATTGATAATTACTAATAATTATTTTGGTTTTATTGGTAGGAAATATAGTATAATGGTACTGTAACTGGATAGGAAAAAAACACACACAAGCTTCAAATTGCATGAAAAAACAAAAGATAAGTTAGGTTTAAAAACTTCAAATTGGTATAATATCTAGGAGTAGGACCAAAAGGTGTAGTAGAATTCTCGATTTGATTATAGAGAATGTGATCATTATGTTCCTTCTTCGATATCTTCTTCCTGTTTCTTCTCGGTATCTTTCTTGCTCTTGCCGTCTTCTTTCACTTGATCATTCTTCGAAGTATGATCATCTCCTGGCAAGTACCTCCTTCCGAGAAAATATGAAATAATCACCAGGATTATTAGAACTGCAACAATGATGATTGCGCCTATGACTCCCATTGTTTTTGGATTGTTTATCGTCGATGATAAAACGATATATAAGCGCAGAGCAGGAATGCAGAATCGTTTGTTGATGACCAAAATTTCATAAGAGTTGTTCCTATATATACTAATGGCACGAGTGGAAAAACTTGGAAAAATACCATTTTAAATAAATCTTGCTCGAAAAGAACTAGCTAATCCATTGTCTTTTGAATCAAGAATTGGTATATATCCTTCTTCTTTTTGTCCATGAAGTAGTGAAAAAGGAAAGTCATAAACTAATTCTCCATTTTTGTTTATAACTTCCTTCTTCATGGAAAAATGTATTGATAAATGTATATTATTAGAGTTTATTGATTTACTTTATTTATTAGTATCTAAATCATTTTAAAACCAAAACCAATAGAATAAAAAAGAGATTTCCGCTTAATATAAAAAAAATATATAACATTAGACGGAAAAAAAAAAAACTTTTTTTTCTTCTTCTCAAAGTTCAAATTTTACTCGAAGCTGGTTTATCTGTTTCTTTCTTTCTTTTTGTACTCTTCATATTTTCTTATATATTGCAAGTAGCAAGTAGCAACTCAACACCATAACAAGTCTACAAATCATTGCCAGAAAGATAAAGTCATTTTCACAATTTGTAAGTTTTGTATAAACGCTTTCAAATTCCATAATTAATATAGAGTGATTTCTGAGTCATTATAAACAAAACAAAAAAGAAAAAAGGAATGCGACTTGCATTTTTTTTCTTTTAGCTACTACAACACCACGCAAGCCTTGAAAGAAAAGTCATAGATATTGGCCTTCGAAATGTGACACAAACAAAGCCTTTCAGGAAGAAGAGCAACAAGGCTTCTTATTGTTTGATTCAGAAGAGGTAGCGACATCAATGGTTTGCCCTTCCTTGATGTTGTTGGCATTTGCAGTAGCCTGGTCTGAAGATATAGATTTCTTACTGATGATCCGATAAATCTCTGAGAGAATCGTCTGAAAAGCCTTCTCTACGTTTAATGCCTCAAGGGCCGATGTCTCGATGAAAGATAAGCCTTCTTTCTCTGCATAGCTCTGAGCATCCTCTGTGGCAACTGCTCTGAGATGCTTCAGATCTGTCTTGTTTCCAATCAACATGATCACGATGTTGGAATCTGCATGGTCTCTGAGTTCTTTCAGCCACCGGCTTACGTTCTCAAACGTTGTTGGTTTGGTGACGTCGTAGACCAAGAGAGCTCCAAGTGCACCTCTGTAATAGGCGCTGGTTATGGCTCTGTATCGTTCTTGCCCTGCCGTGTCCCATATCTGAGCTTTCACAGTCCTTCCTTCCACCTTGGAACAAAGAGCATGGTTTTGTCAAAGGGCTAATTCAGAAATTAAGCAACTAATGCATATTCTATACTGATATACGGTGGATCTTTAATTGGAGTTTGCAACATAATCTATTTGATATGATTAGCAAACTCGAGACTACAAACAAAAAAACCCGGACTTTCATACTTAAAGCAATAAAATTTACATTTCTATGGTCTATCTGATCGTAAAGTGAGTCTTAACCATGAAAAGATTCTTAGATCTGACTTGTACAAGGTTCTAGATCTGAAGCAGCCTCACGCTAAACTAGCCAAGACCAGTTACCAAACCAGTTCACGTTAAAGATATGCACCGTCCACTTTCTTAAATGAAAACGAATCGTACCAGAGCACAAGAAACTAGTGATCATTATCATAACAAAAGGCCTAAATTAAGAAATTTCAAAGAAAAACAAAACTGACCAAATGAAGAAAACAAGCACCACACAAGTAAACGTCAATTCCAAACCAAAGGCCAAAAGGTTTCTATACACAATGGTTGCTTCCGAGTTTCCGAAAAACCTCAAACACACATCTACGGGAATACAAACAAAGACAAAGCGGGATCGAGCAACACATACAAACCGAGAAGTCCAGATGCTTAATAATAGAAAATTATAACTAATCGTGGGTCGAGCAATAAGTCGATAACACTAAATAGATATGTGTGCATACTTGGAGAGTACGAGTAGCGAATTCGACACCGATGGTGGATTTGGATTCCAAGCAGAACTCATTGCGAGTGAATCTAGAGAGGAGATTTGACTTGCCGACACCAGAGTCTCCGATCAAAACCACTTTAAACAAGTAGTCATATTCTTCATCCGGTCTTCTCGCCATTGTTAACCCTTTGTCGATGAGAGCGATATTAGGATTTTGAAAATTGAAAAAGTGAAGAATAGAAGAAGAAGAAGAAGAAGAAGAAGAAGAAGAATAAAAGAAATAATTATTTGTTTTTCCGAGAAAAACGAAATGCTTTGTGGACTAAAATACCCCTGTCTTTATTATTCACTCCCCTTTTCCAGTTTTCTGCCGACGAAACTGCCCTTTATATGTATGTCGGACGATGACTTATATTAATTTGGGCTTCATACACTTTTTCCAAAAGCCTATTCCAAAATTTTTATCAAAACGTTGATTTAGTACGTCTACAATTTTTGTATCTGAATGACTAATTTTTGTAGACGGGAAAAAACGATTGCAGAACGTAAACAAGACAATTTTGTTAACAAATTTCCAAAAAAGGTATTTTATACGAAGGTAACAGTTATACAATGTACAAAGAAAAAAAAATGCACGAGTCAAACAAAAAATAAACAAAACCGGTATTTAAACCAAAAAGAACCGAGTCAAACCAGTGGAATACTCTCCGAATCTACATACATATTTAAAACCCTAATTCTCATTTGTCACAACACTGTCTCTTATAGCTTGATCTCCGCCTCAGCTTCTTTTTATCTCGATTTGCTCTCCCGGAAGATTTCCAGAACAATTTCTGGTAAGATCCATCTATCGCTTTCTCCAACTATCCTCTATCCATCGCTATGATCGTATCAATTGCGAGCTCACTGCTTGATGTTTTCATTGAAACCAGATCCAAAATCAGACGCCGAAGTTCGTATACTTTCCGTCTGAGCAATGGCTTTGGTGAGTACTCTGTATTTTTATTTTATTTTTGTTACATTCCGTCGCCCGTATTACTTCTTATGATCGCATCCTGTGTTATACGAATGATGCTTATATGATCGTGAAGAAGCAAGAATTAATTGTAGTAACGAACATAGATTTAGCAATTCTCGTTTTTATATCATCTGCCTGTGATTCCAGAAGGAAAATAATTATGTTTTCATTTACTGATCGAGGTTCTAGCAGCATTCTTTATATATCGATTTGATTGAGATTATGTTTGTTTGGACATCTAGCTGCTGTTTACTTTGAGTTAAGTTTTATAGAGACGTACTTATCTTCAAAAAGAAGCTCAAGAATGATTTTTCTGCTCCTGGATATATTCTGTAGTTTGGTTTAAATCTCATAGAAATTTTGGTGCTGAAAGATCTCAACAGTTGTGATGAGTTTCGCTAATCAGATTTTCCGTCGTTGGAATATAACGAGTGCAGGTCTTGCACACGTACAAGGGAAACAAAAGTGCTGACAAGGCACTCATTGCCGCAGAGTACGCTGGCGTGAAGATCGATGTGCCTGACTTTGAGATGGGTGTCACAAACAAAACCCCAGAGTTCCTCAAGATGAACCCTATTGGAAAGGTTTAGGAAATAGCTTACTTTCTGCTATGGCTTTGGTTTTTATTTATTCGAGTCTATTTTAGCTAACCAAACTTTGTGAATCTTGCTAGGTTCCGGTACTTGAGACTCCGGAGGGTCCCATTTTTGAGAGCAACGCCATTGCTCGTTATGGTAATGAATTCTTTTTTTTTTCTTCTCTCCTTCAATTGTGTCTCCATGTCTGGTTTACTTGCTCGTTGCCATTTGGGTATAATGGATGTTTTGATGTCCCACTGCAGTTAGCCGGTTGAACGGCGACAACTCCTTGAACGGATCTTCCCTGATCGAATATGTAAGTTACTCTTCTCTGATCCTTTTGCACCTGTTATTTGTGTGTTGACATATTGGTTAGTTTTCTCGATGTTCATCTACACGTTACTTTGCAGGCACATATTGAGCAATGGAGTGATTTCTCCTCATTGGAGATTTATGGAAACTTTTGGAAGTGGTTGGGCCCAAGATTGGGATATATGCCATACAATGCTCAGGTGAGCTTTTGTGACTTTGATCGGTTGAGTCATTCAGTCTCTCACCATATCATTAGTACACAGTGTTTTCTCAACTCTGATTATTTTGTGAATGAAGGATGAGGAAGCTGCCATCTCTGCATTGAAAAGAGCACTTGATGCATTGAATACACATCTCACTTCCAACACTTACCTTGTTGGACATTCTATCACCCTTGCTGATATTATCACCGTCTGCAACTTGAACTTGGCATTTTCCAATATCATGACCAAGAGCTTTACCTCTGCATTCCCTCATGTTGAGAGATACTTCTGGACCGTGATTAACCAACCAAACTTCAAGAAAGTGGTGGGTGATGTCAAACAGACTGAAGCAGTCCCTCCTGTTGCTTCCAAGAAAGCTGCCCAGCCTGCAAAGCCCAAGGAACAGCCCAAGAAGAAGGAAGCCCCTGCAGCAGAGGCGCCTAAGCCTGCTGAAGAGGAAGAGGCACCAAAGCCCAAAGCAAAGAACCCTCTTGACTTGCTACCACCAAGCCCAATGGTTCTCGATGAGTGGAAGAGGCTTTACTCAAACACCAAATCTAACTTCCGTGAGGTTGCTATTAAAGGTGTGTGTGGTGGATATCTCATCACTATAAATACAGTTTTTATCTCTTTCTCATCTCCATACTTTATATCATCGTGTCCTCAAATGCAGGATTCTGGGACATGTATGACCCAGAAGGGTACTCACTGTGGTTCTGCGACTACAAGTACAACGACGAGAACATGGTGTCCTTCGTGACGCTGAACAAGGTGGGTGGGTTCCTACAGCGCATGGACCTGGCACGTAAATACGCCTTTGGAAAGATGCTTATCTGCGGGTCGGAGGGTCCGTTCAAGGTGAAGGGTCTATGGCTGTTCCGTGGACCAGAGATCCCAAAGTTCATAATGGATGAAGTGTATGACATGGAGCTTTACGAGTGGACTAAGGTTGATATCTCAGATGAAGCCCAGAAGGAGCGCGTCAGCCAGATGATCGAAGACGCAGAGCCATTTGAAGGTGAAGCTCTCTTGGACGCCAAGTGCTTCAAGTGAAAAAAAGAACACAGTTTTGTTTTAATATGTGCCCCTTAAAAAGTATTTCGTTTTGCAACTGTTCGAACAAGGTTGTATGACATTCTCATAAAACTTCGGTAAGAGAGTGGAAGTCTGTTCCATTTTCGTTTGTTGTCTGTCACTATTTAAATCGTTTTGTTTTTAAATGATTACATGTGTTTTGCTAATTCTAGTATCTCTTTATAAAGAATATGCAACAGTGAAAATATGATGATGATGTGTCAGTTACATATTTATTTTGCTAGGTCTCAAACCAAATGAATTGTTTTTTACTACAAGTCGTAAAAAATTTATATCTCAAAAGAAAGTTTGGGGTCTAATTGTTCTCTTCCCTTTTTCAACATCAAAAAGGGAGAGTTGATCGATCTACCAGAAGAATTTGTTCTTTGCTATCGATCCGTCCTTGCGTACAAGCATCGATCCGTCCTTGCGTACAAGCTAACTCTCATCGACAGAGAGATAGAGACGCAGAGGGAGTGATACAGAACTAGATTGAGATTCAGATGACAGAGACCTCGGCGAGTGGTCTTTCATGGCGGCGTCTGCTATTCTTCGCTTCGATTGGTCTGCACTTCGTCTTAGGTTCGTCAGATCTATCTGATTTCTTTTTCAAAGGCCTTGATTTTCCAATTTTTATCTATCAGTTTGGTATGAATCATCAGATTTTTAATTTCCGTTTGGGATTTTAGGTTTTGAATTCGCGACATTTATCTCAAATTCAGCTCAACTCGGCTCTTTCTAGATTTCGTGTGTTTAGTATCTAGGTCACGTCTTGGTCTTTTGCGATCAGGATTTAAACATGTAGTTAACGAGACTGTATTTCTCTGTTAGTAGATCCTTGAGCAACTAAGAACCAGTAACTTTGTTCGGTTCATGGATTTTGTGTGGTTCTGCTAGTTTGGATATGGTTTTGATGTGTACAATGGGTCGTTAATTCCACTCTGTTCACCTTTGTTCAAAATGTGATATCATGTCCTGATTTGAAAAGTTTTCTGTCCAAATCGATTGCTTTTCTGAGATGGGTTTACTTTTTATTGTAATTACCATCATGGTATTTGTTTAATTCATCACCAGTTTCATGGGTGATGCTGCATTTTAAGTAACGAGACATGCAATACCAGTTTATGGTAAAGTGACTGAACCTATCTCGTTCTCTATATAGTTCTAGACATTTGAGGTTTTACATAAGCTGGTTCTCCAAGTGGTCACCATGTTCTTTAAAAGTAGGCAGATTCTTGGTGCAATTGATCTTCTTCTCTGTTTTCAGTGTGGTGGAGTTGTTGCTCATATAAGCCACATGCTATCTATTTGAAGATAGATTGTGTAGCTTTAGCCGACTAAAGAGTGTATCAACAACAATGCATGCTAAGTCTTCTGTTTTGATATATCCAGGTCTGTCCGGTGATTCCAAGAATATAAATACAGGAGTTAAGGCAGAGTCTCACACTTCTTCCAGCAGAACAGGCACTAAAGTAATCCTCATACTGGTCGGATTTGTGGCTGTAGCGATGTTCTCCTTCTTCCTATTCAAGCTATGGCAGAAGAAGAAAAGAGACGAGCAGTATGCCCGACTGTTGAAGCTGTTTGAGGAAGATGATGAACTGGAGGTTGAGTTAGGCCTTCGAGATTAAAAAATGCAAACCTGTTAACAAAGGCCGGAGGTATGTTTGTGTTCGCTCGTCTGTTCATGTAAAGATAACTATGTTCCTCCCTCTTTTGTTATCGACAGGCGTTTTACCTTATGTAGATGGAATATATACTATACCCTCGTCACCATATCATCATCGATATTCTCTAGACGATTGTTTCATGGCTGAAAATAAACTACCAAAACTCGTTAATGTTTAGCTTTCTTAGGTCCAAATTTTGTACAATTTATTTTTCTTTATTGTGATTTGCTTTCGTAATATTTCAATATTTTTCCTTTACAGTGATTCCTGTTGATACCTGAGAGAAACTTGGTAGTCAAAATATAAATATTGAAAAAAAAGTATTCCGAGAAATAAAAATATAAATTTAGGTAAATAGTTTACAAGAAGATTACATATAAACTGATGTAATAAAATGTATAAGACTTGGGATCAAGAAAGAAACATTATTGACTGAGAAGCAAAATTGAACATGACTCCTAAGACTCGAATAAAGGGACTTATTCGTCCAATTCCAAAGACTCGAAATGTAACTAATGTTGGGTTTCAAACTTAAATAAAAGTTACAGGATTCAGAATGAGATTACAAATCATAAATACCATTATTAGTTTATTACCCACTGGTTAATGGTCATCTCTGCTAACCAACAAAAATTTCAAAAATAAAGAATTAACTTAATGACGAAATAAATTAATTTGAGGAGTCTCAAACGTTAGAACATTATCACCTCGCACTCGCAGATAGATAGGCAATGCATTGAGAGCCTTTTGCCCTGTCCACACGACCATGCTATGGTCTCTCTGTCCGAAGCAGAGAAGAACTTTGATCATATCTCATGCAAAAATCTTTATTGTCCAGTCTTAGCACGCTTGCTGTTGAAAGGGGACATACTCGGACTCAGACAAGGGCTCAAGCTCGGACTCGGACTCTCTTCCCTCAGTGTACCATTCAGAGCCGCTAACTCCTTAAGCTGTTCCCTCTTGTAGTGGTCCATTGATTCGTCCTGTAGAGAGAAGAACCAGATCATGTGAACAAAAACGTTTGGAGTACCACACGGAGATAGAGATGTTTGGATTTTTGTGAAAAGAGTGTACCATTGGCTTTAGGAGCGATTCCAGGAAATGCACCGCATGCTCCAAACGAGAGTTTATTATGTCCTCTGGAAGCTCGGCTTCGATCAGTACATGTAGTGGCTCGCAGAGATGCTCGTATCCTGGCTTACCTTTTAGTTTTTCCTCCTGAGGAGAAGTAAAACCACAAGGTGGATGAGCCTTGACAACACAAGAATTAGCTATGAGGAGAAAACATCTCGATAGAACCACATTAGGGATCAGAAGTTTCCCTATTCAATTCTAATGATATTATTGACCAAAAGTTGCAAATGCAAAAGACTCGGACACTTCATTTCTTGGACAGGTTTCGAAATTTCAATAGCTAATGTGAAGAGAAATAGTAGCTGATAATGCAAGAGAAACTGTATCACCAATTCAATAAGAACAGCCAATGCTAAGAATAAACAAGGTTATGCACGATGGAAAAACATAAATGCTGCCAAAGAGCGTAAGCAAATTATGCATATCCAACACATGGCTATAGAACTGGTGGTAAGTAAAAACATATGAGATGAAGTCAAGTTTTGAACTGTAAGAAGTCCTCTACACTTGCAGTTAAAACAATGATCAAATGGAATGCTTCCCAGAATCAATTATAAAGAAACCATACCTTGACAGTGTCCTTCACGGATCCTCGCCCTCTAATAAACACCCTACAGTGTGTTGCCAGCTCAACTCTTTTTAGGGAGTTTCCCCGTGGCCCGAGAATCCGCCCAACAAAATTATACTGCAAGATTCAATGGCTTTAACTCGAGAGCAACCCAATTATAATACTACGGTATATTCGGCTAAATCATTTAAAACTTACGCTTGGAAATTTATCCACAGGCACATCAAGTCTAATCACTTTTTTCACAATGGGTGGGGTAGGGAGTCCAGGTATCCCAACCCAGCCCACTGAAGCAGGAGCACGAAAAGGAGAAGCTCTCTGGAGATGACAATTTTCCTGAAAAGAGCAAGCAAATCAATATCGAGAAAAAACACTTTTGATTCTAGAATTCTTAGAAACACCATCATAATTCAACATGAACCTGACATCTCACTTAAACTATCAGCAGTGGTTTACCTCTGCTTGCATCATTGACCATCCGTCTAAATCAAGCTTTCCATTTGCCGGGTGGCCAAGCGATCTGAATGGACTGCCAAGCTCATATCTCTCGAGATCAGAGAAACTGGAGACCCTTCTGATTTCTGCAGGGACACGACCAATGTAAGCAATAAAGCAATGTAAGCAATAAAGCAAATGTTACAAAAGAAACTGCAACACTTGAACATTAGGGGCATCTTGCAGTGATCAAGCTAGAATATTTCCTCCTCTCTTACACACTATCTGTAGTTATATCAAAAGCAAAAAGCTTGAGAAGACAGCCCACCTTGATTTAGCAGTCTGCAACAATGTGGCATAACTTGCAAAAAGGGACCCAACTTTTGTCTCTCTTGCAACAATTCAGCCAAGTACCTGAATAAGGTAAAAAAAAAATTGAACGCAACTGACTATGAAATGGTTAACACTGGAATTCACAGCACACTTCGTAAGCTAATCATAAAAAAAAGGTACATTCGCAGCTTCATTTCCAAAACATTGAAGATCAGCCTTCTTGTTAAAACACTTCAGAAGCCAAAAATAAGTGCCAAATAACCATCAACATTGCCGCGGAAACGACTGTGAAATTGAGAAGTTGGTCATGAAGTAATACAAACTTTACGGAATCATTTTCAGCACTCATCCAATCAAAAAGAAGAAAATCCATTAATCACAGGCACGTCCACAAGATAATCGATCCGCAACAATCAATCTAATTTGATCCCAAAAAGCTCACACAGATTCACATCAACAAAAAAGCTCCAAAAGAAGAAAGAAGTTTGAAACCTCTCACGCTCAGTCGGAGGACAAGGAGATCGATTGGGAGAAGCACGGAATCCGGAAAGAGGAAACTGGAAGAAACTTCCCGGAGAGATCCTCTCTTCCATCGCCGCAAAACCAGCGCCGGATTCCATCATTTTCACTCTGTATATCCATTAGAAAAGACATTGAGATTGGTCAGCACCGCACAAGTAGATACACAATGAAGTGTACAAATAACAGAGAGAAAGGCAAAAGAGTGAGAGCAGAGACTGACCGGAGATACCGAAGAGAATATACGGCGGAGGATCTGGCGCCGATCTCAAGGTTACCAAAACTCTCTCTTCTCCGTCAGAAGTAGGTGTGGACTGTGTAGAGTGGCCACAGCAACTACAGAAGATGAAGAAGAAGAAGTAGGCAAGTAGGGGGAGTCAAAAGCCCTACGCACGATGAGAGAGAGAGAGTCTCACCGCATTTTTTTTGTCTGTTATTTTTCTATGGAGATTGGTTCTTGCGTTTTGCAAACTTGGGCCTTTGGCTATTATTTAATGGGTTTGTTTTCACTAATGGGCCATTTTCGCGCTTTATATTTGAAAACTGAACATCAGTAGGTGATTGGCTAGACGAATCTAACAAATATTTCTCAACCACCAATCATAATTCATAAGAAACAGAAAATAGCAACATATACACAAAAAAGAAGAAGATATGCATACATTACATGTATGTAGTATCCTACGATGAAGAAAACGACCTCTAGTGATTAATAGAAACGTTTAGGCCACATATCCAGGAACGAAAAGTCGGATGTTATCTGTTTCGGTGAACTTTTGAAGCTCTATAAAGCTCATTGACTAGTGATTTGTAAGAGGCCAAGTCAGCTACAATCCCTATTTCAGGTTTCTGGTTATAAAGCTTTGATGCATTTGCATGCCTATGGTGACCTTCCAATAGGATATTGTACGTGATATCGTCCGGAACAACCCCTATATTAAGCATGGCATCTAGCAACATGTCAGCATTCTTCATCTGTCCAAGTTTGCATAAACCGTTCAGCAGAACATTATAAGTCACAACACTAGGAACATGCCCATCGCTCTGCATTTCCTTGAGCAATTTAAAACCGGTTTGGACATCACCTTTCTTACAGAAAGCATCCATCATCATTGTATAGATGACATCATCTGGCTTCATACCAGCTCGCAGCATCTCCCTTAAAGCTCTTTCAGCATCAATGACTCTTCCTTCTTTGCACATTCCACAGATAAGAGCTGAGAAAGACACCCTATCGAGTTCTAGCCCATCCTGATCCATTTTCTTCCTTATCTCCAGAGCTGTTTCTACATCTCCTACTCTACAAAATCCATCTATAAGAGTTGTGTATGTAACTTTGTCAGGCCTGAGACCTCTGTGGATCATTCCATCAACAATGTTCCTTGCAGCCACCAAATCCCCGTTCTTGCAAAACCCATTAACTAGAGTATTATATAGAACAATATCAGGCACAAGACCCCTACTTAACATCTTCTGATAACTTTCTTTCATCAACTCAATCTGTCCATTCCTACTATGACCATGAATCAAAGTAGTGAAAATAACATCATTTGGGGACAACCCTTTCTCACACATCTCATCAAATAGGCCATGTGCTCCCTCCATTTTGTTCTCCTTACACAATGCATTAATCAAGGCACTATATGTGAAGACATCGGGGCGTGTTCTGCTTTTCTCCATACGATGTTTGAGCCTAAACCCTTCATCTAAGTTTCCGGATTTACAGTACCCATTTATCAGAGTATTGAAACTAACCACTGTAGGCCGCAAACTCCTCTTAGTAATTTCGTCGAACACTTTCTGGGCAACACATATCTTGCCTTCTTTACAAAATTTGTTCATCAAAATATTGAAAACGTACACATTCGAGGGATACCCAGCATCCAAAATCTCCATATAGAATCCCCAAACAGTCCCAGTTGGATTCAGCTTCATCATCCGATCAAGCAAATTGCCACAGCCACGAATCGGAACAGCAAATTTGTGCTTCCGAGATAGCCTGAAACATTGAATTGCATCGGGTATGAATCCTAGATCCGTGTACGTGATCATCAAAGCATCAACCAGGAAATCACACATAGCAGTTCCTCTCAACTCTACCAAAGCACTGAAAACAGAAGAAGCCGAGTTTTTCCCTCTACGAGAGACGACGAGCCCGATAAGTGACTCTGCTTCAGCGAACATTTCGTGTACAGCTAGAAAACGAGCCATGACGAAGTAGGACTCAACGGTAAAACGAAATCCGGGCTGAGATGAGATGAATTTGAAGAAAGCGAAGATAGAACGGTGTGAGAGGGAGAGAGGGTTACGGTTGATGAGATCGACAACATGACGAACGCTGAGAGATGGCAGGACCTTCTTGATAGAGGGGCAAGCAGTAAAAGAAGACAACTCCAATGGCGGATCCTTGTAAGAATCTCTGATGGCAACTGAGAGTCTGACGAGAACTGGGTCATCATCGTCTGCTTGTCGATGAGAGATTGATTCTGGAGAGTACCATGTAGATAAGAGAGATGATGAGCGAGAAAGAACTTGAGGGCGGGATCGAGAGAGTGTGCTTCTTAGAATTTCGATTCTGAACATCTCTGTCTCCGGCGAGACTTTTTTCTGAAAGACTTTTGAATGAAAATAAAAACACTGACAATTAATGGACATTATGATTTTTATTATAATTATGTGAAATGGATCGTGGAACACGAAGGCTTTTACATCAACACTATCGTCTAATATTGAAGGAAATTTTACTCAAAGGAATGTTAATTATACTTTGATACGTAAACAAAAAGAAAGAGATAGAGAAAATGATAGTTATAAAAGAGACAAAGCTCTGTTTCATTATGTGTCTGGATTGCATCCTAGAGACATTGTAATTGTAACTAAGACACATGAACGAACACTCAAAATACAAAACTGCCAAAATAGTCTTTGAGCAAAACATTCGGAAAAAGACGAACTAATAGCCTCCTTTGAGATCGTTGACGACGTCGTAAGGGATGGGAGTGACGGTCTCCAAGGTCATACCTTCGACCATGAATCCTGGTTTGGGACCTTTAGGCTGTCTCTTGGTGCTTATCGTCTCACCCTTGGCTTTGGCTGCAGCCTTGAGCTCATCATTCTTCTTCTTCCTCAGCTTGAACTCCTCTGCGCACCTCGACTGCTGCACATGCTCCACACGCACATGGATCCTCTTCCTTATGATCCTGTTTCCAATCTGAGACACCGCCACAAAACATATATAATAAGTCAGTCATTATGATAACCACCAAGATAGGCACTTGCATAAACGTTTCTATGGTTGTCAATAGGATATTCAAAAATTACAGCATATAATCCATAGACTTTAAGCCTAGCTACAGCATTACGATAGCCATGGAACCAAATCACAGCATTGGTAAAATCACGAAGCCAAATAGATAGCATTTCATGTATTCGATCCATGGAAACAAAACGAAGCCTAAGAATTTTCAATTTTGGAATCTGAAACCGAATCAAGAACCATGACACTGAATAGTAGAGGATTAAAAATTCAACAAAATAGCTAAAGGCCTACAAGAAATTAAAAGCTATGAGATCAAACTCAAAATCTGAGCTCATATGTACACTAACCGCACATTTCATCATAAAATCACAGATTAACAATCTCCAATCTTATAATTGAAAAGTTATCAATGAGTTGTAAAAGACCTGTTTGTTGACTTCGACACCGACGGCGCGCTTGGTAACGTTCCAGATACGACCAGTACGGCCATGGTAGAACTTGTGAGGCATACCCTTGTGGATCGCACCATTCACCTTAACATCGACGTAATCACCGACCTTGAAGGTCCTCAGGTATGTGGAGAGTGGGATGTAACCCTTCTTCCTGAACGGTCTCGCGAACAGATCCCTCGTTCTCGCCCGAACTCCATGACCTGCCGGCATGATTTCCCTCTTTGGTGGATACGGCTAAAACCCTAGATCGCGGAAGGAACGAAATGAGAAAGACAATGTGTATTTATATGTTAAACTAGGGTTTCCTAAACGGGCCTTTTGGGTTAGAAATCTGGGCTTTTTTTCCACATATTACCCATTTGATCAACTGAACACCAAAATTTTCTTATTGAACACCAAAATTTTCTTATTGATAAATAAAAACCGCTAGATAGTTAAACTGTTGAGTTCCAAAGTCCAAACTTACATAAAATTCAAATTGCACCCAACTACGAATTCTGATATATATATTTTTTTTTTACTTTTCCTCTCGCCAGTTTATGGCATTGTCCTAATCATAGTGGTTGGAAGATGAACCTTCTGTTCATGGCCAAAAACCTCATGTTTCTTAATACATTGGTCTGTTCTTGGTCTAGTTTTAACTTAACATATATGATTTCAAAATTTCATTGTTTTTGTTTTAAGAAATTATTTTCTAATTAAATTTAATCAAAGTTGATAGAAAAGAGAGAATCTCTTTCAAATATAAATTAAGAAGTTATATATTATCGTAGACCCAAAAAAAAATTATGTAACATAGAAATTTTTCTTCTTATTTGAAGTTCAACAAAAATCATTTTAAGTGGGTGCAATGCAAAGAGACATACTAATATAACATAAGGTTAAACATGAATATAAAAAATGTAAGGGTTATGCTTGACTTGCTTCCGTCTCCACACTCGCAAATGCTGCCTCCTTAAACCCGTTTATGCAGGAAGAAGGTTCCAGATTTAGCGCTGTCTCAATATTCTCTGGCTGATTGTTTTGACAATGCTCCGTAGGTTGAGGGAGGATCATTTCTTTCTCTGGCTTATTGTTTTGACAATGCTCCGTAGGTTGAGCAGGGATGATCATTCCTTTCTCTGGCTGATTGTTTTGAGTCCAATGCTCCGTAGGTTGAGCAGGGATGATCATTTCTTTCTCTGGCTGATTGTTTTGAGTCCAATGCTCCGTAGGTTGAGCAGGGAGGATCATTTCTTTCTCTGGCTGATTGTTTTGAGGACAATGCTCCATAGGTTGAGCAGGGATGTTCATTTCTTTCTCTGGCTGATTGTTTTGACAATGCTCCATAGGTTGAGCAGGGAGGATCATTTCTTCAGGATCCTTAGCTACTCTGCGCTTTCCTTTCGGAGCCTTCCTCTTGAACTGAGCCCTCCTGGCTTTTGGACTCTTGATGGTTTCTTTCACTGGGCTCCCTGCCCCTAATGTCTTCTTCTCACAAGGAAGTACTGTAAGCTGAGTATTGCAGCTGAAGAGGTTATTTTCAGATTCTAACTGGATTGCTATAAGAGCCGTTCTCCCAGCGCTTATCTCAGCATCTCTTTTAGTTTTTGTCGTAGCTCCTGTGTACTTAATGCCTCCGATCTCAACAGTACATGTGAAATTTATACCTCTCCCAGGAGTTTCGCACTTTTGGCACTGATACAATGGAATCGCGTAGTTCATCTTCTGAGCGTACTCTTGAAGAAGGTTCTTGCATAACCCCATTTCGTGCTGCATTAATAATAACCCATTCAAAGTTAGCCATAATATACAATAAGAGCTTAAGAATCTGCACATCTAGATGTTGGCTATGAAAATCAATCTGAGGAGATATAAACAGGTAAACTCCATCTTTACTCAATTCACCAAAGAACTACACCACATAAGAGACTTGATTACTGAGTGGAATCTTTAAACACTTGAGTCTAGATCATTGCCTAAACCAAGAACCTCGACAAATACAGAATGCCCCCTAACGAATTCTCATAGCTTCCCGTTAAACCTTTAACTCTCAAACTAACTGTGAGGTCTATTTCTGAGCTGGCAAAGCTCCAATTTACTGTAACAATCAGAACCACAACATAAGAAAGATGAGGTGCTTACAACAGGTAGTGAAACACATTGGCTTTGCTCACTGGATTTCGCTAATTCTTGGAGAGCAACCTCCGCAGCTGACTGCTCTGCAGCCTTACGATTGAAGAATCCAGGCAACGAATCATATCTGACACCATTGACTATTACTGTCGACTGAAATAAAGATCTGTGTGAGGGGCCTTCTTTGACAGTCTCATATACAGGCGTTGGTAGCTTGTATTTCTGAGCATATTCTTGCAACCGGCTCTTGAACACAAAGCAATTTGAAACACCTGAGCAGGAAAAACTTAAAATTGAGGCGAAAGATCATAGTCTGGCTAGTAAAGACGAAGTACCAGTCACTCAAACTAAACCCTATCAGACAAAACAGAAACAGAAATGAAACTCAAAATGAAACAGCGAAAAGCAGTGAACGAGTCCTCAATTGCAAATGTAAAGGCAAGCACAAAGCTGAAAGTCTATACTTATCCAAAAGCAATGAAGGAGTACTCAACTGCAAATGTAAAGGCAAGTAAAGCTGAAAACTATACTTATCCACAAGGGGAGAGACAACAAAAATGGTAAAAATCGCAAACCTAGCTTCCATATCATCATTTCAAAAGGGTAAAATTTCACAGAGCATACACATATATGGCCAATCACAGCCTGAAGAAGAACCAAGATACTAGTCTTTTCTAATTCCTCGAGAGCTGAAAACAAAACCAAATTTTCCGACCCTTATGGAAAGGAAGGAAATTACGAAACCTGAAAGCTTTAGGCAGAGAGATCTATATGCTTAAACCCACAAAGGAAGATACTCTAACCAATCAAAACTACAATCCAATTTCCAGAAAGGAATCGAGCAAGATGCAGAAAGAGAATGATCTGGTTTAAAATTAAAACCCAGAAAGAAAAACCCATCAACGGAAACAAGGATAAATGCAGACATGAAGAAGAAGAAGAAGAAGAAGAAGAAGAAGGGGGTAATTCACCAGAGGAAACTTCCTTCGCGGCCATATTCTCGAGCAGAATGTAACTAAATATTGAGTAGGGCACTGCGAAGAGAAGAGCGAGAAAGAAAATTGTCGGCACCGCGTAACGCTGCTAGAAAGCCGAGAGAGACGATTGAGCGCTTCAACAAAAACCCTCCTCCCTCGACTCTCTTTTTTCTCTTTTTTTATTAATTAAAATTAAATAAATAGTTTGAACAAACAACCAAAAAAAAAAAAAAGTAGACCCTCCTCCCAGTATATTGGTTACTAATTACGTAATAATATAAATCTATACACTTACAATCTTCCAAGTCTCAACAAAGAGTGAGTTTTTGAATCTTTAGGATCTTTAAAGGAGATCACTTTTGTGTTGAATTTAATTAGGGAGCTTTACAGGTGGGACAATGTAGCTACACTGTTTCTGCAGAGCTGGAGATGGACTGACACAAGCGAAGATCGACGAGGGTTGCCTCTGATGTTTATACTTCTTTAACTTGACACCAAACAAGAACGACCGTAGTGGAATCCTAGGCTTTCCAGGCGATGATGATGAGTTGCTCTTGCTCAGAGATCTTGTATCTGCCGCATTCAACATCCCAAGATCTTCTTCTAGTTTGCCCACAACTCTCTCCACTTCAGTTCTCAGTGCTCTTGCACGATCAAGGCCTGCTTGAAGCTCGTTGAAGACCCTTTTGTTCTCCTGTTTCATGTTGAGTATCTCGCCGTGGAACTTTGCAGCCTGGTAACCGCTTATCTCTGTATCGCTTACTTTAGTACCACCCGATTGAGACGTGACCTTTGAAACTTCAGCTTTGATATTGCAAAGCGTTGCATACCTTCCCTCGAGCTCGTCTCTCAGGACTGCACTGTTCTCTAGCCATAACTGCAGCTCTGTCCGAATCTCTCTAAGGTGTCTGTATATAGGCTTTGCCTCTGATGCATTACTACTGCTTCCTGCATTATCATGTTCAGTTCTCAGTTTCGATAGCTCTGCTTTCAGGTCCTGAACTGCTGTTTGGTACTTCTGTATTTGGTGAACGGATGTACTAAATCTTAACCAGAATTCGATGTTCTCCTCCAACACCGCATCAATATCTCCTCGCACTTTCTCTTCCACAGTTGGAATTTTCTTTCTTAGGGTGTCATCAATGTCTGCAAATTTCACCTTGCCCTCGTCTTCTTTTGTTCGTTCAGATGTTCTCTTCAAGTCTCCTCCTTGCTGATGCGGTGCCATGGAAATTGAAGAGTTAGAGCTAGGAGAAATACTCACACTTTCAGGCTGGTTTCTTTCTACTTGATTTGGAGAATCTTTGCCGGCGATTTCAGGTCTCTGGCGTAACAGATGAAAGTCCATGTCTTCGCAAGAAACAGCATTCTTGAGCTCTCTCAACTGCAATGCCAGCTCAAAGAAGCCATCACGGTTCTTCTTCTCAACTTCACTCAACTTTCTCTTCACTTCTCTGTAGTCCCTTAGTACTGATGTGTATTCATCCAATAAAACCTTCTCTCTATCCTCCATGCCATCTGCAGGTAACAACTGCCTCCAGTTTCTCCCCTCCTCGTCTTCAGCTTCTGTGCCAAAACAAGTGCTTTCTGTTTCTGATAAACCACCACATGAGTCTTTTGTCTCCGATTGCACTAGCTCTTGATCTCTACTATGTTTAATTACAATGGCCTCTTTGATTTCCTCTGCACTCTTTATCTCTGTCTCTTTTGAGATTGAATCTAAATCCTCAGGAGGATCATCCTCTTGGGCACTTTCCGGGTTAAGTCTGTCTCCGTCGACATCTTCATCCATTTCCACCTCCTGTAACTTTCCAGACAAGTCTTCAGCTGTGCTATTAGCTTCACTTAAATGCTTGTGAAGACTCTTGTTCTGTTCTTCCACTCTTTGGAACAAGTTTCTAACTTTAATCAGTTCATCTTCAAGCGCAGTAATCCGTTTCTTCATATCTGTAGAATCGGAAACAAGACATGCCTTGTCTTCCTCTACACCACGGATATGTTCATGTAACTCATCAGTCTCTGATCTTAATGTCTTAACCAATGCTGTGTGAGATGAAGCTGTTGTTTCCAGAGAAACCACTTTCTCTACAAGCTCATCTATCTTCTCTGCAAACTCAGCATTACTCGGATTCTCATTCTTATTCACCTCTCCAGATTCTTTTGCAGATGCATATCTGGATTCTTGACCAACAAAAGCTTTCTCGGTTTCTTCTTCAACCTTGATCTCAAACTTGTTCCTCAGTGCTTCAAACCTCTCTGTTGCAGTATCAATCCTCTCCTTCTCAATTTCTGCATCTTCAGCAAACCGCTTCTGAGTCTCCTCGAGCTTAGCAATCGTTTCTTTACAGGAGCTTAGAGCTGTGTTCGCCACCAGTGTCCTAGCTTCACCATCTTCGATCTCCCCACCAACCCCAAACTCATCTTGTAAACTACAGACCCTCTTCTGCATTTCTGTAACCTCATTCTCCGAATTCCAATACCTTTTGTAAGACTGCTCATAAGAACTCCTCACAAACTCCTTCTCTGTCTGCAGCACCAAGATCCCCTTGTGAATCTTATCAATCTCCTTCAATGCTTCTTCTATACTCAGTCCCGAAGTAGCCAATGCAGAAGAAGACGGCGAGCTTTTCATATCTCCAGGTCCCTTTCTCGACAACACCATCAGAGATTGGCTCTTGAACTCTTTCTTGGGAATCTCAGGGACATCTGGTATGTTAGTGCCACTGGGAATGTGATGGAGAGGCTTAGGTGGTTTATCAGGATTGTCATCATTATCAACATCATCATCATCACCAAGAGGAAACTGAACATGTTCAGGGAAAGCTGTAGCGATCATGTGGTTGGCACTTTGAAGTTCTGTGGACAAATGATCGTAGCGTTCTGCTAAAGCACGGTATGATCGGAACGCTTCCTCCACGAAATTAACAATCTCAGGCCTTTTACGGTAATACATCTCCGCCCTTTTCGCAAAAGTGTCTCCATCTTCATTTATGATCTTAAGTGTGTAATGTACCTTCTCTTCCATATCTAGGAAAGTTAAAAATTGAGAAGAAAACTCAATTAGCCCTTTTATAGTTTTCTCTGTACTTTCTTTGCATTGAAAATTGAAATATGATATGTGAAAACGTTACATAAACCAAGAAGAGCAGTGCGACGTGAAAACATAAAGGAACGTACCTTGGAGATTGTGTTCGAGCCATTTGGATTGTTTTGTGCGTATGTGGCTGGCCCACCACCATGAATATGCATTGCTTGCTGCTCTCTGCAACATCGTTTTCGTTTCAATGATGACTAATATAATTACTAATTAGAGGAAGGCTCGAACATGGTCGACTCATCAGAGTTTGTTTATGATGTGCATCTTCTCGTTTCCTTTTTTTTTTTCAAAAAACGATTCTTATTACGACTTTAAAGCTTCTTCTTGTGGGTTTTAACTAGGAAACCTAAATTTGGAAGATGGTATTTGTTTTCTTAGGTTGTTTAAAATGGTAATGATTGTTTTACTGTAAATGACTATATAAGACTTGGTAGTTCAACTGGTTTGTAACTGAAAAGAAACCAATTGTTATATTGCATTATTGTTATAGAATAAGTCCGTATCCACCAATGTCCTTGAAACCAAAGCACACATGGAAACATATGTCCATGAATCATAGATTTTAGTAAGTCGTTATCCTATGGTATAGATTTCAATCTTTTAGACACTTACATCAGAAAACAGATGATACTCGCGGAGACCATTAATTATGTACACTACGTTCTATCTATATAATATGAGCGCTCAAAACTATGTTATCAACCCGAATGCAATCGAAATTTTCGCATAAAAAAAACGATGAAAGATATTTTTCTATCCTTTTCATTTTTTTATAGAAAAGTCTCCTAGAACGATATAAACTTTTGCTATTAAATCCTCTAAGTCTAACCATCAGAGACCCATGACAAGTTATACATATCACAATCTAAAGATCCCTTCACAATCACTATTTCTCCATCTCCTCAAATATCGCCTGTGGAAGATAGCCTTAGCCGTTTTGCAGCTCGCATCTCAGCATCTTCCACCATTGGCTCATTCTTCTTCTGATCACACTCATCTCCAACATCTTCACTCGTCTTTGCCTCAATTCCAAGATCATCACTCGTCTTCACCTTAATTCCAAGATCATCACTCGCCTTGTCCCCAATTTTAAGATCTTCACTCGTCTTGTCCCCTATTCTGAGATCATCACTCGTCTTGTCCCCAGCTTCAAGATCACACTCCAATGGTTTCTCCTCGTCTCTGTCCCCTTCACTCGATGCAACTAAAAGCTCGTTGTGAAAAGAAAAGAGCTCTTCATTCTCAGTGTTATGGTCAGTGCTAGGACTCACGGTTGCAGAAAATAAAGAGACCGTCTCTCTTGGTGGACTCTCGCTGGTTTCTTCTTCATAAAGATCCATTGGGCTGTTTTCTATGATACCAATATCTGAATCACTAGAGGTGCTTTTCGAGGTTTCAGATAACGAATCAGTCTCACCTTCCTTCTGCACCGGCATCATACTAAGGTTCCATGTCTTCTCCAATGGCGTCTCCTCGTCTCTGACACACTGACTCGATGCAACTACAAGCTCGTGGTGAGCAGACACGAGCTCTTCATTCTCAGTGCTATGGTCAGTGCTAGGACCCACGGTTGCAGAAAATAAAGAGACCGTCTCTCTTGGTGGACTCTCGCTGGTCTCTTCTTCATAGAGATCCATTGGGCTGTTTTCTATGATACCAATATCTGAATCACTAGAACTGCTTTTCGAGGTTTCAGATAACGAATCAGTCTCACCTTCCTTCTGCACCGGCATCATACTAAGGTTCCATGAAGAGAATGACATAGATGCCCTCGGAGATGTGATGCCTTGAAAATTGCCCTCTCCAGAGTTCAGACACATAAACTGTTCACCAGTTTCCATCTCTACTTGCTGCCCAAAACAGAGACAAATAAGAAAGTTATAATATACATTTCGAAAATAAGGAGGTGTGGTCACTTGCTTGCTGATTTTTTAGTACCTCGGTTGCCAATGAGTTGTTACTAAGATGATAAAACGAAGATGGTTCCCCGAATGTTTGCTGTATTTGTCCAAGTAATGATCCTGTGTTGCTGGCTCCTGAATCGAACAAATCCCTCAGAACCATACCGGAATCATTAACAGCTTGCATGTTCCTCATGGAAGATCTTTCAAGCAAAGTCATTTCGATTCCTTGATCGTCCTGCGTCTGTGTCATATTCCCCTCTATCAAGGGGGTGCATCTCTCAGAGAGAACCTCGACGCCTGTATTGTTATTGATGGGCTTTGGACTTTCGCAGGACTGGTTCTGTTCATTACTAACTTCCCGTGAACGGTTTTCAAGGAGTTCAAAAATTAACTTCTGAATCAGAGTACGCTTCAATGAGGCCTCGGCAGGAGGAAACCAGTTCAGATAAAGCTGGAAACACCAGAGAAAAAGCATGATCAGCAAAGAAAGAGACTAAAAAGAATACAGACGCAGCTGTCCTCAGAGGAAAGTACTTCAACTTCTATTCAAAAATATATGTTTTTGACTCTTTCGAGCAGACTCCTGATATCAGGAAGCAAACAGAAGATTGTATCCTGATTTGGCAGCAAAGAGACAACTTTACACTAAGCAACAAAATAGATAACATAATTGACAGATAGCAAAAATGCTGATTATTCTTGCATGCATCTGTGAAATAATTATGGGTGAAATGATTCAGTTTAGCAAAGCTTTTTGGGGGTTCGTAAGAAGCAGAGAAACTATACCAGAATATAAGAAGCAGAACTAACCTATTTATAAACTCAACATTATATTATCAGAAAACTGGAGCTCTTGGGGGTTCGTAACAAATATCATTACACCCCAGCTGCAAGTATTAAGCCTTTTATAAACTATAGTTAATACGTGAAGTATAGCTATTAGAACATAGACTTACAAAGTTCGAAGAATTATATATCTTGAAGGGATTAAAATCATGGGGGGCTTCAGCAAGAAATAGTTCCAAATAGTGCAGCAGAAAGAGGCCACAGTCAAATGAGTTTTCCTGCTGCGGCAACTGAAACAGAAAAAGCAAATCAGAAATCACATGAACTATTATTAACAGCTGCAAAAATATCTATTAGTTAACAAGGAAAAGGGGTTTCACAGCAGACAAAGAACGTATAAAGGGGGTTTCTCATATTCCTTGTTATCCGTCCTCGAAATAGCAAAATATTTAAAGCCTGAGTTCACACCTCGAGTGAGACAAACCGCAAATTCATGAATCTGGAAGAAATTTCATCCGAGGTGTCCTTATGCCTCTCCTTCCACTCCTCACACAAGTAACTAAAAATCAGCAAAACGTTATTATAAACAACTTGCACTACCCAGCTTAAAAATTGAGTATGAATAGAGTTCCAAACGTAATCCAAAAGGATCAGAGCATAGAGCTAAACATTTTCTTCAACTAATAAGGTAAAGAGAGCATCAGGAAAGAATGTGATCATCTCGTTGGGTAAGTGATGAATGTAAATAGATGATGTATATGCAATGCTGCAAAAATCAGAAGAGGCAGAGAATAGAAGACGAAGCTGAACATTGCTGTAAAGAAGCTAACAAACCTTTGGACTAGATTCTTCAGCCCTGCATGGCTCCCCTTTATAGAATCCATATGTAATATGCATGGTACTTTTGTGGAGTCATCCAAGTCTAGTTCTGCAGAATCATACAGCATAATAAACTGAATGATCATGACTTAGTAATAAAGAAAGTAACATGAGACATTACCTGTATAATTAGCCACTTCACCAGGGTGACATATGACTATTAAACTCCAGTGAAGACTGTCATTAGTGGTTAGCAATCTCAGATTTCAAACTCACATACATATAAGATAAAGAGAAGTGCTACAAAATTTTTCGTACTTGAAGTTCACCGGCACAAAAATGTAGTCCTTGCCAAACATGTCCACCTTTCTTGTCCACTTCCGGACACGCAGAAAAGCAGCCTTTCCATCAGCTATACTCGATGGATCTTTGTCGAGATCAGCAAGTTTCCGGAAGAAAAAACTGTTAAAGAAATGAAATCTTTGTCTTTCATCCGCTTGAATCTGATTCTTCAAATAACTGTCAAATAACAGAAGAATACACCAAAGGTGTATATGTGTTTTGTTAATACTGTATCTAAATTATATACTGCAAAGAGCTGCACAAGTAAAATTGTGAATTATACTTAGACCATCAACCAGGAGAGAGAGATATATCTGTCCAAAACCGTATGTCGTAAAAACAACTAATAGCAAACCCAAATTGTTCACTACAACGCATCCCAGATTCTATACTACCTGTCAGCATTGTATCAGAGAGATTAACTTTACGAACTTACTTAATATAGAAGTCAATGATCGTGTCATTCACAAATGTCTCTGGCTGCAAGAGGTCAACATCTCTTTTGCAAATGGAAACAGCATCTGGGTCTCCCTTTGGATAGATAACATCCTCAAATTGTTCATCAAAGCTGAAGAGACAACATAAAAAACACATGTTCAGTTATATACTTCAGAAGTGTAAGTAGTGACGTACTTTAGAAATTTGTACCCCAAAAGTAGAACAGAAGACAGCATCTGATTCCAAAAGAACATATAGACAGCTTTCATAGAGCACCCTTACCGTGGGAAATAACGCTTCTGTTGATGCAAGTTGTCACCTGATACTTCCACGTCATCACTACAATAAAAACAGTTATGGCATGATTTGGAACAATAAGTCACCAAAGAGCTTAACATGAAACCAAAACTAAATATGAGCCTAGTGTCCTTTTTCTAGAGATTTGGTCCAGTTTTCCCTTTGTAAGCCTAAAAGATTTCCTTTTATATGCAATTTGCTTTTGACTTAAGGTTTTGTTTATTTAAAGCTTTACAGACTTGAAGTCGTTTTTCCCGATTAGATTTAGCTTCTCATACGGTTCTAACCAAATGACCCATATTCATAGTTAACAATTTCCCAGGGCTCAGTTATTTAGCAAAATAACATTTCTCATCATCAGAGTATGCAATTAAATTTTCCAAATGAAAGTGAACAGAACAAATGTGTTTTCCCTTTAGCATTCAGTAATATTAGAAGCTTACTCGAGGTCAGCATTCCATACAGCCGGATATTTTACATGCAGCGAGTTAATTTTCTGTTGTTTCTCAGGCCAATTGTATTCTTTGACAGCAAACTTTAACTCCTCAATGTCTGGAAACCACATGAAGCCATATAAAAAGTTAGAGGAGGGATTCCAAAGTAAGTTTTTTTTTTCCAAATTACGATCCCCAATATACTGTATCAGATGCCTAAGATGACTAAACAATAAATTGTGTTGGTAGGATAATAACAAGACATCTTGTTGCAGGAAACATTCTGTGATAACCCAAATGGCGTACATACAACTGAGCATACCTGTGGTGTGTTGCATATCTTCATCGCATTTTTCATCCTTTAATAGAACTCTAATTCTGAGAATGATCAATCCAACCTAAGCAAGTTACCATCAAAAATTGTAAAATTGATAGCGGTTCATATATTCAAAATAGAAAAGAGCCCATCATGTATCTTTCAAAATAGAAGCACAAAATAAATGAGAAACTCACATTTTGGTACCAATTGTATTGAATACTAACTATGTCTTCAACTCCAAATTCACAAGAGAATGGCCCTTCTTCATTATTTGCAAGGAAACTCTTTAATTTGATGCCAGTGGATGAAAAGATTACCACAGATGCAGCACAAGGCCTATCCTTAAGGACAACATACTCTGGAGTCATGATAACAGCCGTGTTTCTGTCAATCTGCAAAGTGGAAGGCGTCACTTCACGAATTGTAAGTCTTACTGTGTACATTCAGGCACACTGAAAATTATCCTTTTAACTAATATAAAAATATACAAGACCAGATGTATCAACCATCAATCAGCACCATCAGAAATGTTGCTAAAAGGATTAGAAATATTCCAACTCGTATTATAAGCATTGATATTGAATTTTTGAAGCTCATAAACGATCGAGGGGAAAAATAAATTACAACACTTAGGCTAAAGAAAGACGATCACATCTTTTTCATGTATAAACCACAATCTGATTACATGACCAAACAAAGATGCCAGAATAGTAGAACCATGCATGAAGTCATTCTTAACTCAGGCTGAAGAAAAAAGCAGCAAAACAAGTAAACCCAATAAAATACAAGAGCACACAATGTACTATCATGTCATACAGGGTATGAAAGAAGATTAATAATCAATATTATCCTTTTGCAACCACACAAGATGGCATTAAAGCTAAAAAATTCTGGCGGCAGTTTTAAGCCATTGGTTAAGAAACTAGAAAACTCATTACCTTTTCCATATCACTGAAGCAGTGTTCAGCCATCCAATCTTTCAGCGCCAAATAACATTGAAATCAATATCCAGTTAGACATACGAGGACATCAAAGCATATCTATAAGAAAAGATAATGAAAAGCTGTAGCATGTACCTTCATCACCTTCTGAATCAGAATCTTCACTCAACGCAGATCGATCACTCAAGCTTTCATCAATAGCTGACATCATATCATTTTGCTCTTGCTGCAAATGTGAAGAGATTGAAAATGCAAGCCAAAAAATTTGAAGGCTTTTAGCGTGCAAAAATCAAGCAATACAAGACAGATTTACATACACTGGATGAAGAATCTGAAAGGGGTGAGTTTAGCTGGGGTTGGCCATATGATGAAGTTTCAGCGTAGAAACTTTTTGCGCTTGGCTGGCAAGAGAAACTTTCCAATCCATGATCTACATCTGTTCCTTTAACGTTGTCCTCAATATTCAAACCAAACATCAATCCATGTTTATCGTGAGCTATATCTTTTTCTTTTTCATGGTCTTCGTTATTCAAACCAACAATCAATCCATGATCAACGTGATCTACATCTGTTTCGTTCAAGTGGTCTCTGGTTGACGCCTCAGCTTCTGTTACTAAATTCGGGGCATCTTCACGATGATGATCGACTACACCAGTAGCAGCCTCTGCACAACTTGTGCCTTCCATTTCTTCTTTCTGAACACCTTTGTCCTGGCATACTGCCAGCAATTAACCATGTCCATAAGCTTTCATATATGATATAAAGAAGTACACAATCAAATTGTATGCTTCAAAGTTTCGGTAAATAAAATGGTACAAATTAATAAAGATTCTGGAAATATAGTACAAATCCTTATATTGCTTACCAAAAACTGTAGTATCACAACAGCATTAAGCATTACTATCTATTACGTACTCCAGATACTAAGAGATGTTCATTCAAGTGTACACTAAACTCCGAAAAATTCAAAATAGATTAACTCCCAGATTATCTTAACTCGTCTCCATTAGAAAAATATCTAAATGTTGTCAATTTTTTTTTGGAATTGAAACTGGGGCGAAATTAGGAAGAAGAAGAAGAGCAACAACTTACAGCTCTGGATGCGCTGGCGTTGCAGAACCGGAGAATTGCAGGGACTAGGGTTTGTGAATTTATCCAACAACTTTTCAGCTGGGGACTCAGCGAGAGGGTCCTCTTCGTTGAAATCAAAGACTTCAAAGTTTTTCTTCATCGCAAGGAAGCTCTCTCCGGCAGAAACAGAGAGCCCAAGCCGGAGATCGGCGATCAGGAATCGAGAGGTCGAGTGAGGGAGAGAGAGGAGAGACGCCGAAACGAAATAAGTCAACAACAAATGCCAGAGCGTCTGAAACACACGCGCGGAGGTAATTATATACCCCTATTGTACCTGGTAATTTAAGATTTTTTCATTACATAATACAGAAAGTGAAATGACAGATATACCCTTTTGTTTCGCCGCGAATTTAAAATAGAAGAAACTAGAGACGTGAACGCCATTGGTTCTCTTCTCGTGACTCGTCGTCTCTCCTGAACTTTCCAAGACTTGAATCACAAAACAGAAACTTGGTTAGCAAAGAGAAGAGAGATCGGATTTGAAGAAGTTATGGATGTCTCAGGGAGCTTGAATTGCGTTGTAGTGGCGGTAGATGGAAGCGAGGTGAGCATGGAAGCTCTGAGGTGGGCTCTTGACAACCTCAAGCTCTCATCGTCTTCTCCCGATTCATCATTCGTCGTCCTCCATGTCCAGCCTTCCCCTTCTGTCGCCGCCGGCGTGAGCCCCGGCACCATCCCTTTCGGTGGTCCCAGTTGAGTCTCGTTACTAGTAACTTTGTGAGTGTTATATATGATCGTTTGGTGTTTGATGAATTGTGACTGAGAAAATTTTTGCGATGAAGGTGGTCTGGAAGTTCCTGCTTTCACCGCTGCAATCGAGCAACACCAGAAGCGGATCACCGATACCATCCTGGATCACGCTCGTCAAATTTGTGCTGACAAATCTGTGAGTCGTTTTGTTGATTTCCATTAGGAAATTTTTGCCTCATAGCCGAGATCCAGTAGCGATTTTCTTAGTGTATGAATTAGAATCTTTATCTTTTCACGGATAAATTAGAATCTAGAGCAAGTTGTGTATTGATTCTTGAGCAAGTTGTGATGATTTATTCTCTCAGGTGAATGTGAAAACTCAAGTGGTTGTTGGAAATCCCAAGGATAAGATCTGCGAGACTGTAGAGAATTTGCACGCTGACCTGCTTGTCATGGGTTCTCGGGCTTATGGCCCTATTAAGAGGTTCCAATCTCTTCTTCTACTCTAGTATCTTGCTAGGCTGATAAACTGATAGAAACTGCAGGTCAAGTTCGAGGCTTTTGATCTTGGTTCCCATGCTGAACTAGTTTGCCCTTAGTGACTTCTGACTATTGATCCTCACGCTCAGTAACATCTTTGCATGTCTGTGTATGATCTAGATTCTAGAATCTGCGGCTACTTCAGAAATGAAAGAGCTTTTTGACCTATTAGTTAGAAGCAGATTGGTCTAAGCTAGGCTTGAAAAAATCCAGCTAAACTAGAGGTAGTTTAAGTTGCTGCAGTTTCCACTGGTTATTTAGGGATTAAGTTATCTTATTCAACATTAGCATCTATGACCCACGAAAAAAACATCAATTTAAGGTCTACTCGACATAAGTTAGGAATAGATTTAATGAACCTTTTTCACAAGAATTCTCAAAAATATTATCAGCTAATCATACTAGTATATGATCCACCGACTACATCATTAATGTATATTCTTTCATATGTTAGCGCAATCTAATACGTGTTTTTCAAGTTTAAAATCTTACTCGGTGCTACGTGATTACAGAGCTTCAAACGGTTTGCTATACTCACGAGAAATGGAACAGTCCATCCTCTCAATTCTCAAATAAAAATTGTCTTGTTTGACTACTGTGGCATATGGATATCTACCTGATATTTTTTAGAATTTGTCCTGTCAATTAACAGAAAAAAGTAAGAAGCGAATAAATAATAATCTTTGAACTTTTCTGACATGTTTACAAGACAATCCGGCAGTTAATCTGTAGGTCAAAGGGGACGTTTATCTGCTTATCTAGCAAATACTGCTCGAGGAACCTTTTTCCCCGTTTAAGATGTTTATACCATATTACTGTCGTCTTTTATGAGTCTTATTTAGTGAGCAAGTGCCAGTGTTCAATCCAGTTTTTTTCTTGCAACAGGATGTTTCTGGGAAGTGTAAGCAACTACTGCACCAACCACGCGCACTGTCCTATTGTGATAATTAAACCCAAAGAGGATTCATCGGAATAATCAGGTAAAAGAGGTTTACCTTCTTGCAAATGATGTCAGAAACTTCATTCGATTGTTCACCCTTTTAAAGATTATCATGGTCATCAATCGTAACCCACATGATATATTGTTCATGTCCAAACCAACCCAATTATGTTTCTTGATTCGAGGGGATTGTCTATAGTTTGCCTTTATAACTATATCTAGAGTTTTTTCAATGTCAAAGTTTGTCCATGGCCTATTTCTCTCTTCGGTTACAATAGAAGTAGCCTCTAACCTGAGTATCCAATCATCTTCATAGGAGATATGTATAGATGCAAAGGGATATCAAAACCATCATTTTTAATTCTGTGAAGTTTTGTGAAGCTAAGGGAAGCAAAGCAAGAATCTACCTGCTCACTCCCGAAGCGTTGATGTGAATGTAAACTAATAAGAGCTACAGAAACATTCATTGGCTCTGACTCAGTGTATATGCGTTGTATTCATATTCGTATTCATCGTTTTATTATTTATGGTGGGGATTGAATAATGTGAGTTGTTGCATCAATCACTATAAAAAGACATTTACAGAGCTAGCTTTTGGGCTTGGACATAACTTGACTTTGTGGCATTGGCTATCTAAAAATCATGGACAAGAAACTGAGTAACACAAAAGATACGTGTAAGAAAAATATTAACCGATAAAGCCCTGCCGTTGGAGAGAGTTTGTTTCAATGAACAAAAATGGTCACCCAACAATACAAGGGTCATTAGCAAATTGCTAGGAGGTATATTTGGATCTAGATGTGTAAACTCATATTATATTGGTGGGAAAAAAAGATAAAAGAAAGATTATGACATTTCTTCAGGATGATAAAGTATTTAAAAGGGCTCGCTCGTGAACGTACAATGAGAGGAAAGGACGAAAGAGGAATCGTCGGTTTGTCAGTATAACATGATAAGGGAGGCTCACGGACTTGCATAACTAAAGTATATCACATAATAGAATTTTTAAGGAATAAAATCTTTACAGAAAAGACATATCCTAATTCCTATTCTATTTACTGTCAATTAGTTGAAAGACGAAACTTAATAAACCTATCATCAGTCAAATTCCTTATTAGACAATCGAGAATCGTTATATACAAACTACAAAAGGTGTGAAATGAATATAGTTCACTTGGTCCCAACGGAAAAAAAATTTATCTATATATCAAATAACAGTCTGTTGAGTTTGTCCGGATTTGGCAGCAAAATTATTGGTTCATTTGGTTTGGTTTTAATCACTATCCAAAAACAAACGACTTCACATGCAAATAATGCCTTTGGTTCCTTGACTGACTCCCTGGCTGGTACTTCCCCACACAGTCATGCATGTCTCCTCGTGACTTCTCTCTTCTTTCAAACTTTTTTGTTAATACTTACAAACACCTCTAGGGATTGAAACTTTCCCTGGTCGCTTAATCGAAATAAGCAAACATATCTTTGCACAATACGACAAAAAATGAATTTTCTCAGTAGATTTGTGTGTTAAAACCTGAAAGAAATAGTTGCTTTGGAATGTTCGTAACTCTAAGCTGCTACAAACTGATGTATTTACTCTAAGTTTTGTTATATATAAATTTGATAAATCTACTATAGATCGAGATCAAAACTGTTATCACCAAATTTTATGATTTTGACCAATTTACCAAGAAAACAAAAAACATTCACGTTATTGTATCTCGCACATGAGATGATCAAGTAGTACTGTCAATAGAAGTGAGCCCACCAATCATATCTCGACGTTGATGGACATTTTCGTACTTTCAGTATCTCTTGGCCCTATATATAGAGAGGCCACACATCATATTCAAAGCACATCTTCTCTAACATATCCCACAAAAACCAACCATGGCCTCCTCAACTCTCCATTTCATCTTCTTCTCGACCCTTCTCTTGTCGTTAACGTTCACCACCTCCACACGTGACCCATGTGCTATCTCCGCTCCTGACGGCTCCGACGACCTCTCAATCATCCCCATTAACGCCAAATGCTCACCTTTTGCAGCCAAGCCAAACTCCGCCTCCTCCGTCATGGACACCGTCCTCCACATGGCCTCCACCGACTCTCACCGCCTCACCTACCTCTCGAGCCTTGTCGCCTCAAAACCCAAACCAACCTCCGTTCCCGTCGCCTCCGCGAACCAGCTCCTCCACACCGGTAACTACGTCGTCCGAGCCAGACTCGGCACTCCTCCTCAGCTCATGTTCATGGTACTTGACACCAGCAACGACGCCGTTTGGCTCCCTTGCTCCGGCTGCTCCGGCTGTTCAACCGCCGCATACTTCAATCCAAACTCCTCCTCCACTTACTCCACCGTCTCTTGCTCCACTGCACAATGCACCCAATCACGTGGCCTCACGTGCCCATCCTCCTCACCCTCACCACCGTCCATTTGCTCCTTCAACCAATCCTACGGCGGAGATTCGTCATTCTCCGCCTCGCTCGTCCAAGACACTCTGACGTTAGCCTCTGACGTCATCCCCGGTTTTTCCTTCGGCTGCATCAACTCCGCCTCCGGCAATTCTCTACCTCCGCAGGGACTAATGGGCCTTGGACGCGGGCCCATGTCGTTAGTCTCCCAAACGACGTCGCTTTACTCAGGCGTGTTCTCCTACTGCCTCCCTAGCTTCAGGTCGTTCTACTTCTCCGGGTCGTTGAAATTGGGCCCGACGGGTCAACCCAGATCCATGCGATACACCCCGCTCCTCCGTAACCCTCGCCGTCCATCGCTTTACTACGTCAATCTTACCGGAGTGAGTGTTGGTTCGGTCCAAGTACCCGTTGACCTTAAGTACTTGACGTTTGACTCAAATTCCGGCGCCGGAACCATCATCGATTCCGGCACTGTCATCACCCGTTTTATTCAACCGGTTTACGAGGCCATTAGAAACGAGTTTAGGAAGCAGGTATTTACTTAAATCTCTCAATTAGCTACAAAACTTCATGAAGAATTTTTTTTTGGTTAAACTCATGTTTTTTTTTTCCCAAATCGAATGAAGGTGAAAGGGCCATTCTCGACATTGGGAGCGTTCGACACGTGTTTCGCGGCGGATAACGAAAATGTGGCGCCAAAGATAACGCTGCACATGACGTCACTCGACCTGAAGCTGCCGATGGAGAATACGCTTATCCACAGCAGCGCGGGAACGCTGGCGTGTCTATCGATGGCAGGGATACCGCAGAACGCGAACGCTGTCCTAAACGTGATCGCGAATCTCCAACAGCAGAATTTGAGGATCTTGTTCGACGTCCCCAATTCCCGCCTAGGCATTGCTCCTGAGCCTTGCAACTAATAGAAAGCATCAATCTTTAGCCATCAATCTTTATATTTCTCTCCTTGTTTTGCTTTCTTTGTTCCATGTTTATTTGAATTGAAGAAATCCCCTAAAAGTTATGGGTTCCTGAGTAATAAGATCCCTTAGACGGCAAGTCATTTAAAATTGAATGATTTTTGGCTCCATGAAAATTTTGCTCTGTATTTTGATTTGGCTTAACAAGACAACAAAGACAAAGAAGATCTAAAAGAAAGAAAGATAAATGTGCCTTTTCTTTTCTAATCAAATTTTGAAACATAAACAACATATAAAATCTGGGCGTTGGACCAATTACAAACATGATTTGCATGGTTAGAGCCGGGACTGCTACCACGATTGCAGGAGCAACTGCCACGCTTTCTATTCCTGAAGGACAATAAGTGCAGGGGGTTTTTATTAACATAAACCAACCATGAAAATCCTTTTTTTTTTTATGATTTCAAAATTTTATGATAAGAACCATTACCTCCATAGGACCAGAACCGTCATTACCCCCAGAGGCAGGCTTCCCGTCTTTTGTGGCTACGTTGGAGTGAACAGGATCAGGAATTATCAGGCCTGCAGGAACCTGGCCAAACTTCAAAGCCTGTTTTTCCACAAGCCAAAACAGAAGAAGAAGACTGTCAAAATCAACAAAAAGCAACGTCATCAGGCACATATTTGATCAGAAAAGCAAGAGACCTGTTCGAGTCTGGCAATTTCTTCTATCGTCTGGGAGTTGATAATTGCAGCCTGGAACATCATGAAAATGAAAACAATTCAAGTTACTATCAAACACACAGCTGAAAAATCCATTTGACCCAATTTAGAGATAATCGCACCTTGATCGCTAAAATTTGTTCCTGTGTTGGGGCCACCACCTTCGGAGTCTCTGGTTGTTCTGTAGTATCTGAGACTTTTTGAACCTCCTCCTGAGAAACCTTCTTAGCCTCCTCTTCTGCTTCCGTGGATGAAAACAAAGCCGCAGCTTCAGCTCTCTCCTGTTAGCATACAATGATTGTCACATAAATGGTCCTTGCTTATAGCATTTTCTAGTTCACTAATTCATATTATATCCTAGAGTACGGCTACTACAACTTGATAAATCGTTTTTGATATGCTACGGTGAGCTAAAACGTCAAGGGGTAGGCAAAAGAAAAATTCAAAGAATTATTACATCTTCACTCGAAGAATCTAACACAAAAGGTAAAACAAATTTATTATGTCCTCCTTTTCAGGATGATTTTATGGTTTGAAATGCAGCAAAAACAGTAATTTTAACTTGGCACCTAGAGTAAACAAAGCTGAACTGTTGATAAAGCACAGGATAAGGTCCTCACCTTGGCTTTGACTTTTATGAAATCCAGCACTCGTAGTGATTTCAGCTTGTGAATCACATAAAGGCGATAATTTGGCTTCTTGGTGATATTATTATCCAATAAACTAAGGTACTGCAGCTTTGGAATGGAGGAAAGGGGATCAATTTCAACCAAATTCACAAGCCTGTTATTTGTCAGAACCAAAGAGTGAAGCTTCGGTAGGAATTCTGCAGAGGAAGAACCATACAATAAAGACAACACACTTAATCAACAAAGCAAAAAATATTTCCACTCTACATTCTATCACAACACACACGAAAAAGAGGACGTTACCTCCAAGATTAGGATTTATTCGGGTGATCCGATTGTTGTTTATGATCAAAGTTCCTAAGCGTTTGAGGTATGGAAAGTTTTCTAGCTTGACTATCTCATTATCAGACAGGTCAATTGAATCGAATTGGTCCTGTAAGCAAAACAACACAGGTTAATTAGTAAACAATCAAAATTAAATTCAACAGGAAGAATAAGGAGATTCACAATAGCATAACAGAGAGAGACCCTCAACGTGCAAATTACTTTCATAGAGAAGACAGACTCTAAAGAGTAAAGAACTCGCAATCAGAACAAAACGAAGCTACAGATTCTCCCAAAGAGTTGGAAAACAAGATGCTTACAACGACAAAGGAGCAAATTGCTCCAAATCGCCACTGTTTCTCTCAATGAATTTTTAAAATAGTTGAATACAGAACCAACAAGCAAACTTGAAAACATACAACCGCATCCAAAAATTCTTTAGAAGACAGACAAATAGGAAACGAAACTAGATAGAATATGTCACCAAGAACAGAACACGAAAGTACCTCAGTAGCACCCAAGTTCTCGATTACAGGAATCTTGTTACCTGCAACAAAATAACCCCACCAAAAAAAAAAAAAATGTTAAAGAAGCAGATGCGTTTAGGGATACAAAAGCCCTAGAAAGGTAACGGGAAAGAGAATAAGTTAACCTCGTAGATCCAGTTCTCGTTCCTTGATGGCATTGAAGAAGTGAGGACTTTTCCAGATCAAATCAGCCGTGAGCTTCACCATTATTCCACTAGGGTTTTACTGCTTCTGGCTCTCTGCTTCGCATTCGGAGAGAGGAGAGAAGAAGAGTGTCGAAGAACTCATAAAACGCAGCTGTCTATTTGCTATTATCCATCGGCCCATTTAACTGCACTGTTGGGTTATTTAAGCCGGCCCATAATAAAATTCCGTCGGTTAATTTTTAGCAAAAACAGTTTAAAAGAAAAGGACTAGTTATCGATTGAATCTTTTTCTTCCTCGTTGTTTCCAACCCGCTTCTAGGGTTACTCTCTCGCTTCGTCCTGTTCTTTGTTCTGCCGATTTGCGCGAGCATTAGCTTCACATACCTTGAATTTGAGTGCGTTGTGACAAAAAAAATAGTTGAGCGAAGATGAGGATTATGATTAAGGGAGGTGTGTGGAAGAACACCGAAGATGAGATCCTCAAGGCCGCCGTGATGAAGTATGGTAAGAACCAGTGGGCTCGGATCTCGTCTCTTCTCGTTCGAAAGTCGGCCAAACAGTGCAAAGCTCGCTGGTACGAGTGGCTCGATCCTTCTATCAAAAAGGTTAGTAGTGTCCGCGTTATCCTTCTTTTAAGTGGCTGTGTTCGATGAATTTTTTTTGGATCTGGCAAACAATGAAAAAATAGTTGGGAATTTAGGCATATAGGTGGTGTATTAGCTTGTTTTTACTCGGAAGTTTAGTTGTATCTATGTGTTGATTTGTTTCTGAAATTCATACAAAGTGTAGGGGAATGTCTGGACTTTTGGAATATTGTAAGGCTTTCTTATGTTTTTGAATTGGAAACTGAATTTTTTTATGTTGTTAACGCAGACTGAATGGACCAGAGAAGAAGATGAGAAGCTTCTACATCTTGCAAAACTTCTGCCTACTCAGTGGAGAACTATTGCTCCTATTGTGGGTCGTACTCCATCACAATGCCTTGAGAGGTATGAAAAGCTTCTTGATGCAGCATGCACTAAGGACGAGAATTATGAAGCAGCGGATGATCCACGGAAATTACGTCCTGGTGAGATTGATCCCAACCCGGAATCAAAGCCTGCTCGTCCTGATCCAGTGGACATGGACGAAGATGAGAAAGAGATGCTTTCTGAAGCGAGAGCTAGATTGGCTAATACTAGGGGAAAGAAGGCTAAAAGAAAAGCTAGAGAAAAACAACTTGAGGAAGCTAGAAGGCTTGCTTCTCTGCAAAAGAGAAGAGAATTAAAAGCGGCTGGAATTGATGGAAGGCATAGGAAAAGGAAGCGAAAGGGAATCGACTATAATGCAGAAATTCCTTTTGAAAAGAGGGCACCTGCGGGATTTTATGACACTGCAGATGAAGATCGTCCTGCTGACCAAGTAAAATTTCCAACTACCATTGAAGAACTTGAAGGAAAAAGAAGGGCTGATGTGGAAGCACAGTTACGCAAACAAGATGTTGCAAGGAACAAAATTGCTCAGAGACAGGATGCTCCAGCAGCTATATTGCAAGCGAACAAGCTGAATGATCCTGAAGTTGTTAGGAAGAGGTCAAAGCTAATGTTACCACCACCTCAGATATCAGACCACGAGCTAGAGGAAATTGTGAAGATGGGTTACGCCAGTGACCTTCTTGCGGAGAATGAGGAGCTAACAGAAGGCAGTGCTGCTACTCGTGCGCTTTTGGCAAATTACTCACAAACACCAAGGCAAGGAATGACCCCCATGAGGACACCACAAAGAACTCCTGCTGGTAAAGGTGATGCTATTATGATGGAAGCAGAAAACCTGGCTCGATTAAGAGACTCTCAGACACCTTTGCTAGGAGGAGAAAATCCTGAGTTGCACCCTTCTGACTTCACTGGTGTCACTCCGAGGAAGAAGGAGATTCAAACGCCTAATCCGATGTTGACCCCTTCGATGACTCCTGGTGGTGCTGGCCTTACTCCCAGAATTGGCTTGACGCCGTCAAGGGATGGGTCTTCTTTTGCTATGACACCCAAAGGCACTCCCTTCAGGGATGAACTTCACATAAATGAAGACATGGACATGCACGAAAATGCAAAACTTGAGAGGCAGAGACGAGAGGAAGCTAGAAGGAGCTTACGCTCTGGTCTGACTGGGCTTCCTCAGGCAAAGAACGAATACCAAATAGTTGCACAACCTCCTCCAGAGGACAGTGAAGAGCCAGAAGAGAAAATTGAGGAAGACATGTCAGACAGGATAGCTAGGGAAAAGGCTGAGGAGGAAGCAAGACACCAGGCGCTGCTTAGGAAAAGGTCCAAGGTTTTGCAGAGAGATCTTCCTAGACCTCCAGCAGCTTCGTTGGAACTAATTAGGAATTCCTTGCTCTCAGCCAGCGGAGACAAAAGTTCTGTTGTTCCTCCTACTCCAATTGAGGTTGCAGATGAAATGGTAAGAAGGGAGTTTCTACAGTTGCTGGAGCATGATAATGCAAAGTATCCTCTTGATGAGAAAGCTGAGAAAAAGAAAGGAGCCAAGAACCGTGCCAACAGCTCTGGTTCTCATGTTATTGCAATCGAAGACTTTGACGAAAATGAACTCCAAGAGGTTTGAATATGAATAATATCTTCCCTATGACAGTTTACTTTTGTTGTTTAGTTGATTTATTTGTTGGGCTGCCTCTCAAATTTTTAGGTTCCTCTTGGTTTATTGATAAATTGCTTGATGGATATTGTACACATGAATTGTTTGAAGCAACATCTTTATTTTGGTATACATTTAGTTGGGGGGTTCTAAAATTGTCCATGATTTTTTGGTAGGCTGACAAAATGGTAAAGGAAGAAGGGCAGTTTCTTTGCGTGTCAATGGGACACGAGAACGAGTCACTTGATGATTTTGTAGAAGCTCACAACACATGCGTGAACGATCTCATGTACTTCCCCACTCGAAACGCTTATGGGCTCTCAAGTGTTGCTGTGAACGCAGAGAAAGTTGCAGCTTTGCAAGTGGAGATGGAGAATGCGAGGAAAAAGATGGAGGAGGATGAGAAGAAGGCAGAACACATGAAGGCTAAGTATAAAACTTATACGAAGGGTCATGAGGTATATAATAAACATAGTCCACATAACCTTTATCTAAATTCTGAAACTATATATCGTTGAATAAGTCTTTAGTTTGGTGTCATGTTTACTGAATCTATATATCCATTTGACAGAGAAGGGCAGAGACTGTGTGGAGCCAAATAGAGGCGAGTTTGAAGCAGATTGAGATTGGTGGAACAGAAGTAGAGTGCTTTAAAGCATTGAAGAGGCAAGAAGAGATGGCTGCATCTTTCCGGAAGAAGAATTTGGAGGAAGAAGTGGTGAAGCAAAAGGAGACGGAGAGAAAACTGCAAGCGCGCTATGGGAATCTGTTGTCGACGCTTGAGAAAGCAGAGGAGATAATGGTTGGGTTCAGAGCCGAAGCATTGAAACAAGGGGCCAAGCTAGCCACTGCAGAAGAAGAGGACGCTTCCATAGCCATGGAAGCTTCTGCTTAAACATATCCCGGAACTTGAATTTTGTATTGGTTCCAAGTTTTAAGGAGACGCAGCTTTACTTTGTATCGGTTTCCAAGTTTTATATGAGTCATGGCTGTGTAAAGGTTGTGACATTCCCTGTTGTATGCTTTGCAAGCGTCAAGATGTTTGAATACGTCAGTCTCCTTGGTTCCTCTCCTAATTTACACGATCTTGTAGTTATGAATTTTCTTTGTTAAAAATGTTACTCTTGGCCAGATATCTTTTGGAAGAGAAAGAGAAAAACTAAACTTCAATCTCATTTAAACCAAAATCAACGTTTTTGGCCGAATGCCAAAACCAAAAATACAAGTCTGCGTGTGTGTAAACCCTTATTAAATTGAAAACAACATAACACAATTATAGCGTTTCAGCCCTCTCTTCAAACAAATTAGGCTCTCAATTCTTGTCCACAACTTCAATTAGGGTGGGCTCGTAGTCAGAGGGAGCCACAAATCCATGGAGGTTCATCACTGTTGCAGCTACATTCGCAAGTCCTGGTGTCTCCAAATCCTTACGGAATCTCACTCCTTCAGACAATCCTGGACCTCCAATGGCAATTGGCACCTGCAACACATTCCAATCGATGTCACATCAAATCTAGTCGAATGTTAGACCTGGTAATAGCACAGAAGATAAAGACTTACAGGCTTGAGAGTGTGAGAGGTTAGAATCTGAAGCTTCCCTTCCTTATCCAAAGCAGGCTTCCCAGACTTATCCCTCTTCACCATGTCCTCTGCATTTCCGTGATCAGCAGTCACAACGTAAATGCCTTTCACTTGTTCGATCGCATCAAGGATCATCTGCAGAAAACCAAAACCAGGCAACACCACTTGTGGATTGAGTCACTCACTCATATTATCAAGACTTGTCAATAAACTTTAAGAGAAAAAAAAAAAAAGCAATACCTTCACAGCTTTATCAGCAGCCTCGCATGCAACAACCGTAGCTTCAATGTCACCTGTATGACCCACCATATCTCCATTTGGCAGGTTAACTCGCACCTGAAAATCAAATGTCGAAACATTAAGATGATCTGCTTATTTCCTGAGACGTTTGAATATAATAAGATCATAAGGACCACCTCACCTGATCAAACTTGCCACTGAGGATTGCGTCCCTCGCCTTCTCACCAATTTCCAGAGCTTTCATCTTTGGTTGGACATTGAATGAAATTCCACTGTCACTTGGGATTTCAACATACTGCTCCAATTTCTCGTTGAAATATCCAGATCGGTTTCCATTCCAGAAGAATGTGACATGACCAAACTTGACGGTCTCACTGTTTCAATGGAAAATATGATCAGCTCAAGAGTACATATGACCAATACACAAATGGGAATAGAGAATAAATACAGAAGTTGAAGCACCTGCAAGCAAAAGTACGGACGCCATTGTGAGCCAAATATTCACCAGAGGTTCTATCAATCTCCGGGGGAGAAACAAGGTAACGGCTAGGCAGCTTTAGCTCTCCATCATACTGAAGCATTCCAGCGTAACGGATCTTGGGAAACCTCACACGATCAAACTTGTCAAAATCTTCATATTCGAGTGCCTTGGCATGCATAACCATACGATCAGCCCTGAAATTGAAAGTGACAACAGCATCACCGTCCACAATCGGACCAACGGCTTTCCCTGCATCATCAACGATGACAAACGGTGGCAAATACTGGTCATTTGCACCAGGCTCCTTCCTCAATGTCTTCACTGCTTCAACGGCGTTTTTGAACTTGTGGGGAGCTTCTCCGAGAACCTGAGCATCCCAACCTCGTTTCACAACTTCCCAATCGTTCTCATATCTGTCCAAAGTCACATACATACGACCACCACCAGATGCAATCTGAGCATCCACACCATTCTCGCGTAATTCAGCGAGGTCGGCTTCAAGAGTTTCCACAAACCCGACACTTGAACCATCCAAAACATCACGACCATCAGTGAGAATATGGACACGGATTCTCTTAGCACCACGTTCAGCAGATCCCTTAATCAGCAACTGCACAAACACACAGCACAAGAGCTTAAGGAATCAACAACACTCAGCTAAAAATAAAGCGTAACAGTCGTTGAAAAAAGATCAGTACCTGGAGCTGATCGAGACGGGAGTGGACTCCACCGTCACTGAGAAGTCCAACGAAGTGTAAAGTAGATTTCTCGAAAGATTCAGAAACGTATTTGAAACCTTCACCGTCGAAGATTTTGCCGGAAGCAAGAGCTATGTCACAAAGCTTAGCACCTTGAGCGTAAATACGACCAGCACCGAGAGCATTGTGACCGACCTCACTGTTTCCCATATCATCTTCGCTGGGTAGTCCAACGGCAGTACCATGAGCTTTGATCAACGTCCAAGTATCAGGAGCTCCCTGTAGAGAAGATACGAAACAAAAGAAGATAAAGTTAGATGAATCCATGGAGCAGAAATCAAGATTTAAGGTTTAGAGTAGATACGTTTTTGAGAGAATCCATGGCGGGAGTGGGAGCGTTGTGGATGCAGTTGTACTGATCAGGAGCAGATTCACCCCAACCATCCAAGACGATTAAGGCGATGGTTTTGCCCTTAGGGAGCTTGGGATGGTCATCGAGCTTCCAAGCTGAGGAGGTAGCCATAGCTGAGATTTTGAGATGCAATCGAGAAAAATGTCAAAAACAGATCTGAGAAAAAAGTGAGAGAGAGGGAAGGACAAGTGAAGGTTTGGTGTAGAGGAAGAGGCGGCCTTTAAAAAGAGTCAATTTGGGGGATGGCCCACATCTATGAAAATGGGCCACTTGTGTTTCACGCAATTTTTTTGGATCCGAATATTCTTTATTTTCCTTTTCCCTTCTTTCTCTTGTCTTTATTTTCCTTTTCGACAAATCACGCAAATGTATTGCCATTTTGTTTGTTTTCTTTTCTTTTTTTTTTTCTTGGGGAAAAAGTCATTGGTTTATGAATTATTTACTAATATAGTATCAAAAGAAAAAGGTGAAGAAGACTTTCTGAAAACGTCTATTGTGTTAGAAAAACTGATGTTACATCACCTTTGGACTTATGCAGAATAAATCTATAACATTTTGAGTTCGATCTTTGTAGTTGAAACACCGTCACGGTCTAAATTTTGTAAAAAATTCTACAGTTTTCGTCTATGTTATATATAAATATCTAAGGTTTTTTATGTTTTTTTATTTAAGTATCCGGACAAGCGTGAATCATCCTACTCTAGTTGTTAAGATGATATCAGCAATAGCAAACATATATAGTTAGAAAATTGATATCTGCAACACCAAACATTTCTTTATAACTTTTGCGATATGATTCGAATGATTGTCCAACATAGACATGTTGTGTTAATTGTTGAGTTTCTAATGGTGCCTTCCTTTGGAGAGAATGCTTTACGTTAGGTTTGAATGCTCACGAAAAAAAAGAAGACAGCTCTCTTTATCAGAGGCTTTGTTTCTAAGAACGGTCAAAAGCATGGAACAGTAGAGGTTCAAACGAAAACGTTTTCATCAAGCGAGTAGAAGAAGAAGGAGAAAACAGAAAAGGATTGTATCAAAGCTAACAACAGAAGATGAAAAAGAAGAAGAAGAAGAAGCAGAACTCGGCAGCCTCGGATAGTCATCAGGAGAAGGCATAACACATTCATCACCATTGAACAAGATCCTCCTTGGAAAAGCCCAACCTTCTCTAAAAGTGAAATTTCCCATATCTTTCTTTAGCAATAACTCTGTTTGCACATTTCCAATCTCTCCTGCTTGAAGCAGAACATCGTTGTAAAACTTCACTCCCCAAAATATCCCTGTATCATCTAAAAACCACACCAAGAAGAATCCCACGACTTAATTACAAGAAGAAGAAAAAAATGTCTTTATACAATTTCTTTAATAAGAAATTACTTACTGATGCCGTCGTGATAAGGTGTTAAGGATTTGTAGTTAAAGCTGAAGACTTGTTGGACGCTTTTCAAGTTTGGATGAAGCACCACTAAGTTCCAGTCAGAGTAATTCTTCATTGTGTTGTAATTCGTTGCTGTGATCTTAACCCTCCAATACTCTCTATAGTTCACTTTTACATGCCAGTGGATGTGGATGGGGCACATATGCTTCGTACACTGCACCACAGGTGATACTTCCTCATCTGGATCATGTTTCTGTTCAAGATATGGCGGCGTCTCACCAGGCCTGAACAAGCCAGCAGTACCTCCTCAGGCATATTTTATATAGGAAAGTACTAAACATCAATGAAGAAAGAGTTAATAATAATAATTACTTGACGCAATGGGAACTAGAGCAGCCGCAGCTACACACAGGGCAAGGAACTATTGTTTGGTTGTAAAATGCAGAGAGTGAAACGCAGCATTTTGGTGATTGTGATGACCTAAACTGCGAGTACACGCACACTGCCTCCCATGTTGCTGCTCTCAGCACATCAAAATGTTTCAAGTCCAAGAAATAATTAGTTATTATTAAGAGGCAGAGCTAATTAATTATTTCGAAGATGAGTTTATTTACCTAGAGCTTGCGTTTTGTGACGACCCTTGTTGGTACTGAACTTAGTAGGGGTCACAGATGTTGCATTGTCGCAGGTATAACCAGGGACTCCTATATCGAAATCATAAGGCATAATGAACTCTCCAGTGTCTTCATCAGGGAAGCTTCCAATGGTCATGTGGAAAGCAGAGACATGGTTTATGCTGTCCTGAGACATTGATGTCAAGACGCCTCCACGGCAGCAATTGGAGACTTGCATGTTGTAAGGAGCTCCGGGAAGAAGGTCGACGATGGTTGGTCGCCGGAGACAGCAGTGAGGGAGGTTGTCGCTGGCGGCGAAGGCTGAGCAATTGCCTTGCTCCGTCGTCTCAGCTCCGGTCATGCCCCATATCACTTCTTTGTTTTCCCAATGCCAACTCAGCTTCCAACCTGGCTTCTCCACGTGCCGGTACTCTTGCTTGTTCTCTATTGTTACTTGTACCTGCAACGTTTTGAATTCTCACCTTCTAAGTTGTGTATAGTATGAATTACTAATATATCAGATGTTATGAATAAAATTCATTTGACAAAAACGTCAAGAAAATCTTTTTTCAAGAAAATCTTATAAAAAAGATTTTACAAGTTGTAACGATAGTAAATTTGACAAAATCAATTTATTTGAGATAGTATGGAGTAAAGGTGGTAAAAGATGTATCCAACTTTACAGGAAACAAAACAAACTTTTGAGTAAACTTCTTCGTCTCAAGCTGAGGATTCGGACACTATTTTAGTTATTTTTATTTTTATTTTCTAATTTGTTATATCTTTGTGTATTTGGTTATAAACCCAGATTCTCCCAAGAGGCAACAAAAAAAAAACTCATATTCTCTGAGGCTCAAGCGGGTCCCATAATCAGACACATTGTTTTTTACCAGAATACTGTATTTATTTTTACATACAAAATCAAACTCAAAAAAAAAGTATGCAGAGGAAATAACAAGAAAAATAAGAATTACTGTGTGATGGCCAGGTAAGGATTGAAGAAGATCCCATTTGATGATAATTTTACCAAACGGATCCAAAGGATCGTACCCATCTGCAACCATTTTATCACTAATCATCAAAAACCCTACTCACAAAATCAAATCAAATTTAACAATTCATGACAAAGAAAACAAAATAAAGGGAAATTATAAGACTTACGTGTGGGTGATGAGATTGTGAAGAAAATGATAGTGACGGCAAACAAAGCATTTAGAATTGCACCCATTTTAGGTATTACAAAGGATGAACAAACGAGAAGTAAAGATACAAGTCACGTCGTATTTTTCAGATGCCGATGATGAAATAAATCAGAACAAGTTTATTTCTAAAACATGTGAATTTTGATTTGGCTTTGGGAATAAGAGAGAGGAAGAGATATTGATAACAAAAACAAAAAAAATCAAGAGACTGAGAGAGAGTTAAGTGTGACGCCTCGGGTTTCCCTGTTTAAGAGAGAGACAATTAAAAGCAAAGAGGTGACTCAGTGACTGTTAGTGCTCGTACGAAGAGCTTTGCATTTGTGAACACTCTTTTCTCTTTTCTTTCTATTTTTGGTTTTTACCATTTTAACTTGCATTTATTTTTATTTAGCTAATAGCTGTAAAACAAATTTGGCTTACCTTATTAGTACATTAATCTGTGGTAGTTTTGGTGGATGGCAGCTATTAACTCTATAAGTGTCAGCGAGTTTATTTAACCGTTCACGTTCTCTTCTTCCTCTACCTGAGTATTATTACCTGTAAACAAATTTATGGAGTTGGAAAAAGACCAAATCAACAATAGTTCACAAACACAGACAAACCAAAAAGAAAAAAAAAATACGTACACTAACTAGTTTTCATTCTGGTTAATATTGTTTTCCTTTATATTTCTGTGTGATTTTCATTTGAATTACATATACAGTAGTATCTTTTAAATTAAAAAAAAAAAAATTTAAACTCGCATAGGAAGAGTTTGTTCACTTTCTCTCTCTCATGCCATTACTCGCATAGCAATCTGTTAATTACACAAATATTTTTGGTTTGACAAAGAAAATACAAAAATTATTTACATGCAATTAAAAGTTTTGACCAAAGGGTAATTAAGAGAAGTACACAAAGATTCAGAATTTAATTAGGGAAGAATGTGTCAGAAAGAGATGCGTTTTTTCATGAGCGTCAACATCAAAAAGCTCTTTCCACGCGTTCTTTGGAATTCTCGATTTTCTGTTTATCAATATTAACATAAAGACGAAACCTAATTAACAGAATTAATTACTTTTGGCAAGGATACAAACCAAAAATGCCCGGTTTGGTTAGATTTATATTGTCTGAATGGTTAAGTTGGTTCGGTAAGCGAAATCGATTTGGTTGGTTTTACTTTCTTTTCTTTTTTTCTTTTTGTTTCCCGATGTCTAGTTCCAGAGGCTGCTGATATGTCAAAGTCGGTGATCGGAGAACTATTCGACGCTGAACCCAACACCCAAAGTTGAGAAAGCCTGTGAAAGAGATGGCGCAACCAAGCAAAGAACCCTGCAAGAAAGAGGCTTGCGACATCCAAGCTTGTCTCTCGAAGAACAATTTTCTTCCTCAAAGGTAGTTAATTTCGTTTTTTATTTTCATTATATGCCGCCATTTGATTTTCGCGGTTTAATTTATTCATTGTCCGTGAATCGAATTTCATGGCGAAATGACTCTCTTTTATTCTTTCTTTGAAAGTTTCTTTTGATGCTGAGTGAATTAGGGATCCATATAATTGGGGGAGTAGCGTTGTGATCTTAGTTTTGGGGGTTTAGGGTTCATGTCTCAAGAATGAAAAGTGGGTTTTCAGCTAAGTTCTTCCTCGTGTTAGCGTAGGATTTGATGCATCGATAATGGCTTGAAAATTTGCTGCTTTTTTTAGTTAATTATGAGGTCTGGGTTTGGAAATTGTTGACCAATTTTCCAAGCTTAAGCGATTGTTGTTGGGTGGGGGGTGGGATAATCACGTATAAGTGTTCCTTCTTTGATGGTGTGAATTAACGAGACACTGTAGTGGAGAAGTGTACAATGTCAGGCGTTTGATTTTAGATCATTTGAGCAGTGATTACCAATTGATTTTAGAGCTTAGACCATTTTGAACTTGCGGTCATCCACTACCGGACATTAGATGAATAGAATTTACTTACCTGAATCTTGTAATTTCTTGTTGTTGTAGATATTCTCAAAAACTCCGTTTTTGGGTTGTGTCAATAATTGGCCTCTCCTGAGGATATAGTATGGAATGCATTATCACTTGGTTTGCATCCACTTAACTTGTTTTTCTGACCAAAGATTTCCGTGATGTATGAATTCCACAACTGAAGACAATCGAAACACAGAGAAGCTCAAGAATTAGCGACCTAACTATTTGGTCCACAACATGACTACTACTGGTTCTCCTGGTTTTGTCATGTCTCTAGGCATAATACTTTTTCATGAAAAGTTTGAGCAGTAAGATCATACAGTTTATTAAGCGATGATTGAACAGCAACTATCTGACTACATACAAAATAATGGAAAAACTCTTGTTTGTCCTGCAATTTATTCAATCAAATACAATGTATTCCATACTGGAGATGCTAATTAGATTTTGTGTGTGAAATTGGTGTGTGCAGGTGCCAGAGAGTGATAGAGATGCTACAGGCTTGTTGCGAGAAATGCAATAACGAGTCAACACATTGTGGATCTGTAGCTGCCCTCTTGAAGCAAATCAAGAAGTAAAACCAGAGGCATCACATCAGGGAGAAACACTACAATGCACATTACTCATTCTGATATGATGACGCATACATTATTATCTTTTGTATAAATTTTGTCACTTTCCAAATAAAAGAATGTTGAGTTAAAAAAGAAAAAAGAAATCGAAATAATAATTGTATTTGAAATTGCGAGTTTCCACGTGGACATTTGGCTTTAAAACGGCCGAGCTTTTTTTGCAATAATATCCGCCGACCATCTCCTCCGACGACCAGAGAACAAGCAACCATGTCAATCGCAATTCCCCTCAACACCACTTTACAACACTCGCCTTCTTGCCTCTTCCCTTCTTACTCTCTTCTCTATCCGACTCCTTTGGCCGATGTCTCCGTTAGGAGAATTCGACGGAGATGCCTCAGGATGGCCACTTCTTCCGTCTCCTCCGCTCAGAGCTCCGTGCAGAACGGCGCCACCGACGCCGTATCTGCCGTCGGTCGGAACCAGATTCGTCTTGGTCTTCCTAGCAAGGGACGCATGGCCACCGATACGCTAGATCTTCTCAAGGTGAGTGTGATGGTATCTGAACTGCGAAACTTCAATTTGTTATCGTCTGTTGCCGATGAGCGTTTTCTCCTTGTTTGCTTATTGGGTTATTGCCAAGTTTCATTTTGATTCTCTGAAATGATGTTCTCCTTAGCAAAGTGGACACATTGATTTACAATCTCATTGCTCCTCCTGACTCTGCTTACTTTCTCCTCTCTCGTGAAGGATTGTCAATTGTTTGTCAAACAAGTGAATCCGCGGCAATATGTTGCTCAAATTCCCCAGGTACGCATTTGGAGAAAGGCAAAATCCGCATTGAGCTCTTTTATTGTTGGTTTGGTGTTCTCAACTTGTAATAGCAATCTCTCTTCTTCTTATTTTTTTCCTTGTCCTCCAGTTACCAAATACTGAAGTTTGGTTTCAACGGCCAAAGGATATTGTCAGAAAGCTACTCTCAGGAGATCTAGATCTAGGCATCGTTGGTCTTGACATAGTTAGTGAATTTGGTCAGGTAAATGATATCGTATTTCTTTAATCTTGATTAGCATATACGTGTTGAGATTCTAGCATAACTTAGTGCTGGTTGTTGTTATACTGATATTCATGGTAGAAACAAGTCTGATCCTGCTATCCTTCTTCTGTGATTTCCCTATACATTTCTAAGCTATACTTTTGAGTTTTGTTTCTAGGGAAATGAAGATCTTATCATCGTCCACGAGTCTCTCAACTTTGGAGACTGTCACCTATCCCTTGCGGTACGTTCTAACCTTAAGTAGTTGTGCCTTATCATCACTACAGATGACTTTTTGAGTGCTCTTTTCATATGATTTCAGATACCCAATTATGGAATATTTGAGAATATAAAGTCTCTAAAGGAGCTGGCACAAATGCCTCAATGGACTGAGGAAAGACCTTTACGAGTTGCTACAGGATTCACTTATGTATGATGAGTTACAAGTGTTCCTTTGGTGCATTGTGGTCCTTTAGTTTATTTCAGAATGCAATTTCATTGTTTTGTGATCATCCAACTTGTGTTTGCAGCTAGGCCCCAAATTTATGAAAGAAAACGGCATAAAGCATGTGACATTTTCAACTGCGGATGGAGCCTTAGAGGCAGCTCCTGCGGTGAGATTTACGTTAATTTGCAGATCAGCCTTAGAGTTGGACGTATGTTCCCTTATTAGACTAGTGAGCTTCCATAAGGAGGCTTGGATTTTGTATGAAAGTGTAGAGTACATCAGATCTTTCTTTCTGCAAGAGAGGAATCTTATTTAAATTTTACCCATGGTGTCATTCTGGAAGAATTGTAGTCGGCTTTTAAGGTCTTGTTTTCATCGATAGTTCTTAGTATGTCCAATCAGCCTTAGATGATGAATTATAATAATACTGAAAGAAATCATTATTGTGTACAGAGTTTGTTGACACATTTTTTCTTGTTAATTAGATGGGAATAGCTGATGCGATTTTAGACCTTGTGAGCAGTGGGACAACCCTTAAAGAGAACAACTTGAAAGAGATTGAAGGAGGGGTGGTTCTGGAAAGCCAGGTTTGGTGTGAAGATCTTTGGATCTGATTATTGTTTCCGCACTTGGCAACCGCTATATCAGATGATCTTTCCTTTGTTTTGCATACAATCAGGCTGCACTAGTGGCGAGCAGAAGGGCATTGACTGAGAGAAAAGGAGCACTAGACACAGTGCATGAGATTCTTGAGAGACTGGAGGCCCATTTGAAGGCGGATGGTCAATTCACTGTATGCACAAACACAAAGTAATTGCAGTGTTTTTCCTTGCCAGTGCTCTCTCTCATCCTATGTTTTCACTTCAGGTTGTTGCAAACATGAGAGGAACGGATGCTGAGGAAGTGGCTGCACGTGTGAAAACCCAACCATCATTATCAGGATTGCAGGTAAAGTTTGAGAACATGTGTAGTTCCAACTTCCAACCAAAGAATTAATTCCAATGTCTATCTGGTGTATGTTCGCTGATTGTAGGTGATAGTTTACACGACTGTGTTTCTTTTGTGATGTGCAGGGACCAACAATAAGTCCAGTTTACTGTAAACGAGATGGAAAAGTATCGATTGAGTTTTATGCCATTGTGATATGTGTACCCAAAAAAGCTCTATATGAGTCTGTGCAGCAACTGAGAGCGGTTAGTAATGACATATTTATGGGATTTAAAAATACGCCCAAACCATTTGCTTATTGCCTGAAAAAGGTTCAAAAACAGGCTTATGTTTTGTTTGGTGATGTCATGAATGTGATTGCAGGTGGGAGGAAGCGGGGTGCTGGTTTCACCTTTAACATACATTTTCGATGAGGATACTCCCAGATGGAGTCAGCTTCTGAGTAACCTCGGACTTTGACCCTGCTTCACATTATTCAGACAGGCTTTGGTTTAGTGAATTGCGTTCGTAGAAGTAAGAAGACCAGTTGGGTTAAACACTACATGTTTCTATTAATTTTGTCTTTGATGGATCTTTTAGAAGAAAAACAGAGATTGTCTCGTTCCAGTTTCGGATGATAGTCAACCTAAAACCAATTTTATCAAATTAAAATTGATTTCAATTTTCTAATCAGTATTTGCAGTTCGATTGGAACCCAAATTGTATCTCGTTTGCTACTTAAACGGAATGAATGAATGAAAAGAAGATCAAAACTTTCATAATGATGTGAGATACAGTGAAAGTCACCACCATAAATCAATATTTCCAGTTCAGTAGATTCATAACTCAAGGAGTTGGAATCTCTTGCATCCACTTCAGATCTCGGCAATTCTCATCAACTAAGCTTCTGAACAAATCCCATTCTGTGACTCCTCCTCGCCCATTGTTGCAGAAATTAATTGAAACTTAAATCCTCCTCATGGAAATTCATACTTGACACGCGCGAGATACAGACCACATGCAGGAGCCATGGGTTTGGCTGCAGTCACTGTCTTCGCCTTCAGGATTCGTTCAACTGAAGAAAAACCATAAATAACCCCCCAATGGAGCTTTTTAGACTAGTTTAATCAAACCAATAACAGTAAACTCTACAAGGGGAGATAGAGAGACATACCGTCTGAGACCGTCAACTCTCCCGTGCCTACACATTTAAGTGCTGCTACAAGCAGTCGAACCTGCACAACACAAAGAGACTATATAAATCAACACAGCTTTAGAGTGGTGAGGACAGCTATTACTATCTAGATCAATCAAGAGACTACAATTGATAGGCATGTGTTACCAAGAAAAGACAATGGGATATACATCTTACCTGATGGTAAAGAAAAGCGCGGCCACGAGCTGTTACTACATAGCAGCGGTGTCGTCTCCTTACACCAAAAGTATCACCACCATCTGTAGAAACACCAGCAGTCTCAGTCTTGGCTTGACTGGAACATGCGAGAGGATCTCCATTGTTTAGGTAACTCGGCGTCCTTTCCGTGATAGATGGAAAATATGGAGTTGATGGTACCTCAGTGACGTTTAGTTCATCTAAAGATCTGATAGGTGACTTTGCCTGCATAACAACCATCCGTCAAAAAGACTATCAGGTTTCCGGATGAACATCAATCTACAGCTAAAAAGTAACTTCTTTTATTGATACAGACGAAAAGCCATCTTCCTTAGTTTAAAAATCACCGAGACAAATGGATACATTATGCATATTAAACCAAGATTAACTTGCAAATCTACCGACTACAAAAAAAAAACGAGAATCTACAAGGGTACTTTGATTTGCTGTGATGGCTGAGAATACTACAGCCGATCTAAAAATGATTAAGGAAAAAGCAACTGGAGATATAGATCAGGAATACCGAAATTGCATTCTACATGTCAGGTCAATCTGCTGCGTAATCATACTTTATCACAAACACACACAAATATTTATGCGCTACCAAGCCACAAATTAGATGCATAGATCAGGGATTTTATGAATGAGAGCGGGAACGATATCCAATCGTTCAGTACATTCATATTGTTCGTGTATGAAACAAAGAAATTTTACCTGGCAACCAGCTGCCCTGAAGGAGCTAAAATCATGAGTTCCAACAAGAACTCTGCATGCTTCCTGTGCACCAATCATTGATGATGGTCGTTAGAGATCTCTTCATTTAGGAGTGGTAAGGGCTAAGGAGTTATCTTTTAATGGAAAACATAAGGTTTGGATCACAATGCTGATATTTATCATAAGAAAAGCTGATCAAAATAGAAGAAGGTGAACCTGCATCGAGCGAAGATCTAACTCCTCAGGAACATGCCAGGCACGGTCTTTTTCGAGGATGGATAAAGGATCCGACCCCGATAGCAAGCGGTAGAAGTATCTACAATGAGTGTCATGGAAACATTCAGTATTGTCAATTGCAGGTATGGACCCATTCACTTGAAATCAGACTTAAACTTAAAAATTAGCACGATCAGCGCATCTTTGGACATTAAAATCTCTAGAACAACGGAACCTTAGCCTCTCTAATGAGTGATGTATAAAGAATACCTACGTGCGCTCCCGGGCCTTATATCTGGCATGATAATTACTTGGGACACACCGAACATCAATCACCATAACATCACCGTCATTTCTCTGGTGAATTAAAACGTAGGAAATTAAGAAGATGCTCAGTAGAATAAAATGAGAAGAATAATCATTGTAATCAATTTTAAATTCCGAGAAATCACCAAATATTGACCTGTAAAAAGTGGTTCACAGCTCTCTGGACCACACCAGGTTCATGAGGTGGTAACTGCATTTAGAAAACAGGGTTCTGTAAGAATGCTTATATATTTATCCTAAAGAGCTGCAAAGGACATGATAAGGAGATAAGATAACAGGTGTTTGTGAATGTAAACGTTGGTAATTTGTACCATATTCATGTACAAATCAGACTACAAATGGAACATATGATACTAGAGAAATACAGTGGATAGCGTGCTCTTATATTACTATTGTTCCTTTACATGAGCGAGGCACTGGTAATTCTAATATAAAAAGCAGTGGATGCAAAAGAAATACCACTTCACCGGGCTTTCTTTTACTGATGCGTTCAACATCCACATGGCAAACATTAGACAGTGCATGCACTCCTGCATCCTAGAGGACGCCATAACAATGTCAGCTAATATAAACCAAAATAATGAGCATATCGTTGACCTAAATATGCTAAATCTAATTCATCAAAACCAATTTTCAGTGCTAGATGAAAACGGCAATCCAAAACTAGATGAAACATTTCTTCAGACACAAATAAGTACAGCATCATAAATATCTGTAAGTTATTTTAGGTTCTACTAAGAGCTCGAAAAAAAAACTAAGATTCTTAACTCGGTGGCAAATATAACTTATGAAACTCTTACCGTTCGACTTGAGCAGAAGATCTTAACTGGCTGGCCAATAAACTTATGAAAAGCCTCCTGCAATGGATCGCGAAACGTATCAATTCACACTTGAATACTCCTAGACAGCTTATAAACTGAGCAAAATTACACACGAAATCAATCTAGCAACTTATCGAATCACAGAAGAATCGTCAAAAGATCGAGAAATGTAAAACTGAGGAGACATTTCAGCACTGACCAATCGTGGAAGCATTACATCGGCGAAAACGAAAATCTAAAAAAAACAAAAAAAAAATCAAACACACATCAACCTGCAATACGCCGACGACCGTGCGGTCCGTAGCTTGCTGTTGTGACCCCGAGAAGCGAGTTCCGATATACTCAATAGCTACCAAGTAACGCTGCACTCTTGGGTTCATAGATAGCTCCGGCTCCGAGACGACCAATCCTTGTCGTTCCTCTGCTTCTTCTCCCTCTTCTTCGTCACTGAATCCGTCGAATCTCGCAACCTTTGAAAGTCTCTCGAGTGATTCTTGAGAAGCTGAAGAATCAAGAGGATGCTTCAGATTACCGGACATTATAGCTCACACAGATTTTTCTTCCCTTAACAGTCTAAGCCCAGTGCCAATGCCTAAGGGTTTAAGAAAAATATGAAAGCGTTTGGATGTTTGTTTAATCTTTGCTCACGCTTGGGCTAATCGATTTGTTGGGATGGAGATTCTGTTCTACGTTTATGTACTCAATTATTATCTCAACAGCCATTGACATTGTTTTAATTGATCGATCCAAGATTAAACTTATATTTGGTGGGATGAGCCGGGCCCGTGCAGTAGTGCAACGCATGGGCGACTCGCGAAAGCCCAGATAGCAAGCTATCTTATTGGGCTTTCTCCCTCAAAAAATAGAGTTAATATCGTGTGGGCCGATGGCCCACATATCAGATATTAAACTGATAAGAACAGATACTACACTTGATCTTAGCCAAAAGGCCGAGAAAGGTATGAGTTGAAAGGAAGGTCCAGCTTCCTCTTTTATAATATCAGACTTCAAAGATGCTCGTCCTTATACTCGATGTGGGACAATTAACCAAAACAAAAGGACTAAGCAAGAGGTTTCAAGAAACCACATTTTGCAATTTTAAAAGGCTAAACCGGATAAAAGGATTTGATGATGCTTATAACCTTCCCAGGAGCGAATTTTAAAGAGGAACTTTTTTCTTTAGAAGTACAAAATTAACAAATATGCGAACCTCAAAATGCTTTAGCTTCAGTGGAAATTCTGAATTTCTCATGATCTTTGCGAAATGTGTTCATCGTCTTTCTAATCCCAATATTTATGACTTCTTTACTCTAATACTCTTCTTTATGTCTAAAATCTGAATAATTTATTATTGAAATAGTGAAAACCATATGGGATATAGCCTCTTTCACGACATCTTAAGAGGAAAGAAAAACAAAAGCCCCTAACAGAGAAAAAGGCAAAACAAAGAACCTCCTACTAAACCTAAACTAGTTGAAAGCAATTCAACAATAATTAGAGAACAAGGAAACTGAGAATTGAAGAATGTCTAGCCAGTGCTCTTCTTGGAAACAGAGTAGCTTCTTATGGAGAGGTTCTTGGTTAGATTGACAAGAGCTGGTTGTGTTGTGCTACTGCTACTCCTGCTCCAATTATATCCTCTTTCTTGATTCATTCTCCTGTTGCTTTCCATCTCATACTGATTCAATAAAAGCCATAATCGAGTTTCAGATAAAAGTAAGAAGAGGTACGCATAAGGAATGAAACAAGTATGTCAAGGTCATGAGCATAGTTACATCATAGTCCTTCTCTTTGTAGAGATCCATGCGAAGAGTGGCCGGTTTATTCTCCTTCTTCCCTCGCAGAGACTTCTCTCGTGCTTCATAAAAGTCCATGTCGTCTAACAAAGATGTTACCGCAGAATAGTTCTTGAATATCGAAAGCATCTGAAGACCTTCTTTGAGTTTGATCTCGTGAGTATCTCTCGTATGAGTAACTGGCTTGCCCTCATTGTTGTCAAGGATGATATGGCATAATTCCCAGTTAGGGACATCTTTAACCACATGCCATTCCACCGGGAAAAAGCCGCTCCACTTATCAACCTGCCAGAAATCTAAATCCTTGTTGAAGTCCACGTATCCAACCATCTCAGCTAATCCCACGAATTGTCTACTCGCATTCACCTGAATAAAGAACGGGTAAGAAATCAAAACAAGAGAGTAACTAGAACACCCTTAATCACAGAAGGCAAAAGAAGACACATCTCAAGCTCACTCACCGAGAAGAAGAGAAAAATTGGACGTTTTTTGCCATCCTCGAGCGTTTTTGCTTCAGCATCACGGTAAGCTGCGTCGAGTTTCTTGTTCCCGTTGCAAGTGCTTGACCACACGGAATATTTGATACTCTTGTGAACATCATCCTCGCTGTAGGACTTGATTACGAAAAATTTAGCATCCTCATAGTTGGTCTGAAAGTCTGGGAGGTTATACATCTCTCTACGAAGAGCCAATGCAAACGAGTTGTTTTGCTTGAGTGATGATGACTCAGAAGGAGGAAGAGTCTTCGCATGGGCTCTTGGACCACATTTCAGTTCAACCATGGAATCAGATTCTACATTTCTCTCAGGTTTCCTATATTGATCTCTGTGATCCCAGAAACCACTAGTTGAGTTTCCATTGATATAACCACTATATGGGACACTGCTTGTCTTTTGATTCGCAAATTTTAAGAACTGTCCTGTGGCTTGCTTTCCCTTCAAAAGGCACAAAAAAGAAGCAATTTAAACAAACCTTAAAATTTATAGGAAACACTAAATAAGATTGTCTGGATAGAATATACGGAGAGGAGCTTTGGTTTTGAACTATTTATATAGATATGACCAGGTACCTTAAATGGCGGTCTAAATGCATGTGATTGTGTATTGAGAGGAAATCTATCAGCACCATTGAAATTTCCTGGAGGCTTAGTTGCCGACGCCGAAGTTTGAGACCAACAATTGCTTCTTTTTGCTCGATCTCCACGCAAATTCGAATCATAATAGCCATATGAACTGTTTTTGTCACGGTAACTTCCCTGCAAAACGAACCCACACCGGACATGGTAGAATGTCAAACAATGAAATTACAGTAGCGGACTGAGCTACAAAAGCCAATGGGCAAAATCAAACCTTTAGAAAATTCGTAGCAGATGCTTGAACATTGTCGTTTGGCTGAGAAGAGATACCATCAGATCCTTCAAAACGTATCACAAGCCACAATCACTTGACAAAACAGCTATAGATCATTCACTGCTGATCCGTAATAACTGATTATGCAAATAGATTAACTAAGGAAAATCTGTAAACGAAATGGAGTTCGTATATTGATCCTTGTATAAGAATCTATACCGAATACTTGATAAACTACCAGAGTTACTAGGTGGTTGCCTTACCATTAGCACATGCACTAGCAGTAACAGACGAGGTAGTAGACCCTGTAACGATACGATTTGTGTCACCTCTCGGAGGAGACTGAAAAGATTACCAACATAACATAAGCAATCTTTGCCAGCAGGAGATTAAGAATGTGGCTAATAGGATTTTAAATACCTCAGCAGGATCTGGTACATTTCGCGCATAATCAGGCTTAGCTAAAGTTAATGTTAAGGGGTAAACACAAATTGATATAACAAATAAAACCCACTCTTGGAAAGTTAGACACTACCATATATCAAAACTGTCCTAAAAGTATAGTAAAGCAAAAGGCAACACAAAAATCAATCAATTAAGGAAAGACAGAGCAATTAACGTTAAAGCGGTAGCAGAAAAGGATACAATCCATAGCGTTCCTTTCAGTGGCCATTACCGATTTTCAAGATACACTGCAGCCCTTGAAGGGAAACCAAAATATGTAAGGTTAGTACTTTAGTATGGAGAATCCGAAACTCATATAATCGACAACAACGAAAAAAAAAAAAACAGTAATACTCTGAGGATATCTACATTAATCCCACCATACAAAAGACAGAAACTTTGGCATATATATTTGTGGCGTGATCTAATGTATATAAAAGACCAAAATTTACAAGAACAAAAGATGTCAAAACCTGCCCTTTTACTCCACCATAACACAATTACAACGGAAATCAAAAAGTTTCAATTTTTTTAGGAAAAAAAAAACCAAAAGAAACAGAGAATTCTGCGAAACAATTGAAGTAGAATGACTCAGAATTTTCCAAGAGCCAAACAAATTAATGATTAATTGCAAACAAAAACCTATACATAAAAATCCAGGGAGTCATAAGAAGAAGACCTGGGTCAAAGGAGCAAACTGACGAAGACCCAGGTTAGATTCGCCGGAAAACAGTGGAAACAGCCTGAAAACGGAGAAGGCGGTTTTCGCGCGGAAGAGGTTGGGGTCTGTGTTAAAGTGTGTGGACTCTGGAGCGGGAGTGGGGAAGTTGTGTCCTCGACGAACCCTCGCATATAACGAACGCATCGGACGGCTGATACTAGTTTATAGCTTTCATTGAAGATAAGAGCTTGACCGTTGGATCTTTAATGTTCTCGAATTGGGCCTCAAAGGCTGGAAATCTTTGGGATTTTGAATTCAGTCCATAAAAAGAGTTTCTTTTCTGTTCCTTAACCTTAAAACCACATGCATGCATGATGTATCAACGGGCCAGATAGAAATCCATGATCTCGCAAATTAAGCAACAAATTGTAGATATCGGTTAGTAGTTTAGTGTCCAACTTTCTCAAGAAAATGGATTTTGACTGATTATATTTCGTAAATGTTAATATATGATCATAAAATTAGTGTTTAGTTTCCTTACACCGAAGCATTTTGCTTTTATTTTTTTGTTCCCACCATTGAATTTGAAGCTTGATTGCCTGGATAACGACGCTATGAAAGTTACAGTCAAAAAGAAAAGAAAAGCCAACTTTGACTAACAAAAGAACCATTACTCTCACAAATTTATCTTTTTGAAATTTACTCTCAAATTCTCAATGTATTTTAATCGTCCCGATTCTAATTAAGATCGGTATGATTGGATACTCGCACAGTTATAATATTAGATGATTATTTTTCGTAATTAAACTGATATTTACTACTAATGCTTTTGTGGAGCGGCAGAATCACATATTTGTCTTTTCACTATAAAGTATAGGGAAAACAATAGATTATACCTCTAATATAGTTTTCCAACATTATATTTCCAACATCAAGTCAATGACTATTTTGTGAACACTTAAATTATTATTGGACAGTGAACTTTTTGGTTACTCACATGCATGATACTAGTTTAGAAAAGCAATCTTTTATTTTTGCTATAAAATTCCATAAATCGAATATTTTAGGTAAATTTCTATGTCAGTTCTCAAAACTGATGTCTAGAAATATTTTGACCATTCAAAATTTGCGTAATAACATGTTATTCTGTTAGTTTTAATTTTATGGTTAAATAACTAGTTCTCTGATTTATTTTAATATCGTGTTAAATTTGCGTAAATTGATTGAAAAAATGAGCCGTAGTATAGCTAGCTCGAAATTGATACTTCATATAAGTGACTGGAGCATTAAGAAGAACCTGCATTAATATACGCAGAAAACGTGACGGATGCTTTCTTGTATATTTACCTAATGCATATGTATCTCCGTTAATGTTATAGATGGTTTTTTCATCTTTTAAGTATTTTGTTATTAACAGTTATATATTTTTGATTGTTTTAACAGGTATATATATATATATATATACGTTCATGTATGTATGCGCACATATCTCATTAGAATATTCACAGAATTTGTTTTATTTGTTCATTACTGATTCGGTCAGGTTGGAGAAACTTCTTTAGGACTTGACAAAAAGAGAAAGAAGAAAAAGAAATGGTTCAAAAGAAAATGGCCAAGGCAAAGAAAAGAGTGAATAGGAAAGAGAGGTCACATGATGGCCTCTTTTTGTCATGAATGATCTGTGACTATGAGTCACAAAAGCCAAAAGCTTCAATTCTATTTTCTACACTAAAATCATTCCCACTTTTGAATTTTGCTTTGCTGTAAGTTCACCTAAGCCCCCACTCTTCTCTAAATGCCAAATTTTCTTTCTAATAATTAGGTCCCTAATAATTAAAACCGATATTCACCAACTCCAGTTATAATAACTTATAGTACCAACATCTCACAATCAAATTTGAAGCAAAGATCTTTTGAGTGATTGAAAGTTTCTAGTATTGAAATAAGTATACACTATGTCACGATCATCAAAAGGATGTCACTAAGTTTATACTAATTTAGCTAACAGTTTTCAAAATTAATTCTTGTTTTGGATATCTATTGTTCTGACGATCGCTTGGTCTGAAACACTTGCTCTGGTCCGTGAACTAGAGTTTTATATTAATAATCAGAAATGTGTTCGTCTACTTCGGTCATATTTCAGACATCTAGGCCGGGCTTAAAATTTCACAAAGATAACCAATGATCAGACCAAAAGAACAATCTACCTCCTCTTTTGCCGCAGCTAGTTAAGCTATTTTTCGTTCATTGAATAATTGTTTTTGCGAATAATTATTTTGTTTTGAGAATTTTCATTCGATTGCGGTAGATTTAGGCCATCATTGCCAAACAGATGCATGTGTTGAACTTTTTCCCCATAATTTCGAATTCCTGGAAAGTATTTATTAGTGATTTTTATTTTCACCTAACTTATAAGGTTTCACTAATTTCGACTGTAATTTTAATTTAATTGTGTCATATATACACGACAACAATATAAAATTTATGTTTAATCTAAAAAAATAATTTCAATTGCATCCATAGAAAAGATTAAAAAATAATAATACGCTAGCTCAACGTTTTATTACCCGTGAAGTTAACTAAAACATTGCTGATTAAGAGCATGTTAACTCTAAGGAGTTTCTACACATATTTTTAATATGAAATCTAAAACTTTATAAGATCGAATATAAAACTTTAGGTTGCAGACGCACATTCCAAAAAAAAAATCAAAAACTTTAGGACTATAGATTAATCAAGTATATTAAATATTATCGACATAAAAGTTTTTTCGTAACATAGTTTAATCAAGTATATTCATGCATTTGACCAAAAAAATAGAGTATATTCATGCAATGCAGGACTACAACATTCCATACAGATAATGGAGCCAGGGTATTTCGAACATCCGATCGATTAGCATTTAACAAGTTTTATAACTGTGGATTCAAGGAATTGTTGAGTTGCAAATAAATTACTTGTAATCCTTTCTATTTTCTTAATTCAAGAAAACAATTTAACAGAAAAACGAAACACAAGAACAATAAATTGAGGTTGGGGAGGAAGTGTCACTGACTCACTGGGTAGTCTATTCCCATACCACACTAGAACCTCAGCATCAAACTTGCACAAGCTATCTCTCTCCTTTCAACTCTACTCATATGTTTTTCTCGACTCTGCATTATATGACTGATTCAATCACGGATCATAGTTGGTAATTTGTTTTTGTTTTTTCCTTAATTGAATAACCTTAATTTTTTTATAAACAAGAAATTTCCGGTATTTCCGCTAACTAATAAAGTGGTTTAAGCTGCAAATTATTATGCATCATTGTTCCATAACTTTCGACCAAACAGAAAAAAATTCCCATAACTAGGATAACTAATTGAAAACTTACTATGATAATAAGTTCACCAAACTTAAGGGTAAACGTTTTCTTAAAGCAGCCAAAGGTTTTCTTTGTTGTTCCTTTGTGATGACTGATGACACGTAGGCCCCATCCTCAATTACATTATTTTTGATTATTTTTTGTTTGGTCGTGGATAAGATGAAATAACAACAAAATCATGTCACACAAACGCTTCCCCACAAACGCTAGTAAAACACCATCAAACTTGCATAGCAATTTTAAAAGTAGATAACGAATATGTATGCAATGTACTGTGTTTATTAAAAATTATAAAAAGAGAAAGAAAAATAAACAGTAAAACAGATATGTTTGATGGTAAACGAAGCGAAAAAATCCGCCAAAACAACTTACTTATCATATATGTCTCATCTTATAGACAATCCAAGTGTGGTTTTCAAAAAATGGACCTAGATTGAACAAAACTATTAAACCAAGATAGATTAGAGTATAAAAAGGAAGAGGGTCATATAAAAATAAATATAAAAAGAAGAGCGGATGAGAATAGAAATGAACTAAACTAGAAAAAGTAAGCAGTGTGAAGTTGTGAGTTTTAACAAAAGACAGTGACGGTCCTGAAGGGGATGAGATCGTAGTATCTAGGGACAAAGATATATATGTCTGTTCCTACTACTTAGGGACCATTATCACCACTAACTCTCTGTTAATTCTTTCTGGTAATACTTTATAATATATAAACATATTATATATATACCCTTTTGTAACTATATATTATATACAGCCCATTATCACGCATAGTACAGAGTGTGTTTTGTTTCTTCTTCCCTACTCTGCTTTTGCACTTCCTTCACACACAAAATTAAAGAGGAATAATAAACTTAAAAATGCTCAACTTTGTATGTTTCTAGAGAATTTCTGGTTATCATTTTTTTTTAACTTGGGTTTGATTCTTGATCTAGAGTTCTAAGATTTCTCCACTGTTCTTCTCCACGTTCCTGAAAAAGAACAGAGGAAGAAGAACAATTTGAAGGAGTTCAGTCTCCAGAGAATATCCAATCGACTTTAAAACAGAGAAAAAGCTCAAGACTCGCAGTCGCATGCCACAAGGAGAAAAATGAACGAGTCGAGGTCGTGGAGCATATACAGTAGCAGAGACGGAGAGAGTGAAGGGCCATGGAGATCGTCGACGTCGATGAATGCGATCTCCTTTGGATTCGTAGCTACGGCGATACTCATCTCCATGTTCTTGATAATGGCCATCTTCGAGCATCTCTTCAGGCCAGAGAATTCTACATTTGATTCACCACATCGGATCAGACAAAGACAGAACCATAGCAGAGATGGGTCCACTCAGTTCCACAAACTTGCTCATCAAGCATCCATGGTAAACAAAACAAAACAAAAAAACTTATTAAAGCATTTCTCAAAAGAATTTTTGTCCCTTTTTTTTTAATAAAGTCGAAGCGCATTAACTTGCCACTGGTAGACTTTAATTAGTTTTTATTTTTTTTTGGTTTACAAAATGAAATTGTTTTTGCTTTTCGGTGCAAAAACCTTTGGAAATCAAAGTAAATAGGAAAATAACCCAACTTTGGAAAGTGAAAAGCGAGACACAAGTTATACTTTATTCGTTGTTTTTCTTACAGAATAAACAGCAGTTAATCGAATGTGACTAATTCGTTTTCATATGCACCGCAAAAGTTAAAGAAAAAAAATGAAATTGTCCCTTTCGTATGTGTTTTGTGTTGTCTATATATGCAAAAGTTTTAACATTAATCATAAGGAGTATGACGTGATAGGTTCCGGTGAATATGGCGGTGGATGTATCGGTAGTGATGCCGGGAGAGAAGCTACCGTCGCACATAGCTTTGGCCGCTCCTTTACCTTGTTCAAGAGAAGGCATTCGTTGGCCTCTCCACCTCTAAAATATTATTTTATTACTCTTCTCTCATGTTTTTTTTTTACTGACTCATTTAGTAGATTAGTGTTGGACCTGGTGATAATCTAATTTTAATATGCATTCAAGTCACGATATTGATCGAAAATTTCTCCAATTTATTTTTTGCCAGAAAAAAAAATAAATTATTATTAGTCGACATTTGAAAAGGGAAGGCCTAAAAATCGTTAGTTGGGCTGAGAACAAGCCCATAGAATTTATTTCGGACGAGACTAGAGCCCATTATCATCAGTGGGCGAATTTTATTTAAGATCCCGAGATCACCATCTCTCTCAATCGTCTCGTAGAAGCAAAAGGAAAGGTCGATTCAAAGATTTAAAATTTGAACTACAGATACAGAGAGAGAGAGAAAGAGAACGGTGTAATGGCGACGACGGCTAAGAATTTGAAGGGTTTCTACAAGCAGACGAAAAGAAATATCACCGGAGGTATCTCCAAGTCCAAGCCTTCTTCCCGGAAAGTCACTCCTAAACACGCGGCCACTCAAGGTTCTGATGCTACGCAGCCGGCGGCGTTGATTTCGCACGGCTCCCTCGATCTCAATGGTATCGTTTTTGTCTTCTTTCTGTCAACACCTGCATCTTCGTTGTGTTCTCTTTTCTCTCTATATCCCTCTCTCATTTACTCTGTGCATTTGATTTGGATTCGGCGAGATTAACTTTTCTCCCGAAATTATCCCTTTTTTTTATTCTTCTCCATGCTCAGGTGCTTAATCTCGATGCTCTTGATGATCTAATTCCTTAATTGTCCCTTCTGTTTCATGAAATTCATCGATTTTACTAGGAATAATTCTAGGGTTTAACTCCAATCCTCATATGAGATTTAGGTTCCGATCGAAACTTAGCCGTGAAAAACATAAGTTTTTTTCTTATTGATAACATTTGTGTCTTTGCTGTGTTTCAACAGACGCTTATGACAAGGAGGAAGAGATGCTCAGACAATTTGACATGAACATGGCTTACGGTCCGTGCTTGGGTATGACAAGACTTGACCGATGGGAACGTGCACTGCGTCTAGGGATGAATCCTCCCAGTGAAATCGAGAGGCTTTTGAAAACTGAGAAAGTTCAGCAAGATTGTCTGTGGCAAGGTCGTGTCTAAAGTTTCAATCTTTTTTTTATCTATGTCCTTGTATGATCCCGTGTCACTTGCAAAACTCTTGTCTTTTGTGAATGTTTGGTTCAGCCACTGGCTGGATCACCCACTTTTCTGGTGTTAATGTTTGAAACCTTCTTAATGGAATGCATTTTGTTGATCGAAGCTTCAGTTATATGTATATTCTCATTATCACAGGGAACTATATCATGACAGACTTAAACAAATTTTGGTGTCAGTAATTACGTGAATGCTACACAGTAAAGTTACAAGAATCTCTATTTCCAAATGAAGCTGAAGCATTGTATAACTCAGGAAACTGTAGTCATAGCAGGGAAAGACACATTTTAACATAACGCTACACAATTTGGAAGATTTGATTCATCCTTTCGTCTGATAGAACAGGATTCAGGGTCTGGTTTCACCTACTGTCACTGCCTCTTCTCTGGCAATTGCTTCACAATGAGTACAGATTTTTTTCATGAAAGAAAGAGATGGTGACCTCAGGAAATAGTGTCGAGCCAATCAAGTGAATAACAAGGGCCACAGAGCAGGCAATTGCCTCTTATGATGATCACTGACAGATTATGCTTTCGTGGAGACGTTAAATAGGTGCCCTTCAATATCTGGAACAAAACCTTTATCTACCATTTCTGCTTTAACTATTTCATAAGTTATCCGGTTCGGGACTAGACCATTCTCCAGCATCTCATTCAAAAGCCTATTTGCATCCTCTAACTTTCCCTTCTGGGAATATCCTTGCAGAAGCACATTATATGATGCTACATTCATCCGCAAACGCCTCTCTTTCTCCATCTGTTTCCTTACGTTCGCTGCTGCTTTCAGATTTCCTTCCTTACAGTAGCCTTTCATCAAAATGTTATAAGTCAGATGTCTCGGTTTCAGACCCATCTTTGATATCCCTTCTTTCAAAAGCATTGCTGCTTTTCTCGATTCTCCTTTACTGCAATAACCATCCATGAGTATGTGATATGTCACGAGATCAGGAAGACCTTTTCTAGTCAATTGATCAAAAAGCTTCGTAGCTGCTTCTATGTTATCATTTCTGCATAAACCACCAATCAAGCAGTTATAAGTTTCAACGTTTGGTGCAATCCCTCCCCGTTCCATCTCTTCTTTCAGTGCAAACCCATCCTCAATTTTTCCTGACTTGCAATACGCATCGATTATCATGTTATATGTTTTAGCACTAAGAACGATTCCCCGGCCTTTTACTGACTCAAGCATATCAAGAGCTTCCTTCAGCATATTGTTCTTGCAAAACCCGTTTATAAGAGAGTTGTAAGTAATTAAGTTAGGCTGCACACCTGCGCTCACCATCTTATCGTGCATACCAACAGCCTCGCTTACTTTTCCCCCACTACACAAACCATTAATCAGTGTATTGTAAGTGATCACATTCGGCATCATGTCTTGATCCAGCATCTCCTTAAACACCTTCATACTCCCCGAATAATTGTCATCTTTCCAGAACCCATCAATCAATATATTGAATGTAGTCAAGTTCGGGGACACATTATTCTCCACCATCTCCTTCAAAACCGCGTCTGCTTTGTACATTTTCCCAATTCCCCCAAGCTTACAGTACCCATCGATGATAGTGTTATAACTGACTACATTTGGAGAAAATCCGTACACTTTCATGTCCTCCATAACATCCTTAGCTTTGTTCATTTTCCCTGTTTTGCACAATGCATTGATCACGATATTGAAAGTGAACAGATTTGGTTGGATCTTCCTCCTAATCATCTCCTTATGTACATAGTCAACATCCGCAAACCGATTCTCCTTCAACAACGAAACCATCAAAGGCTTACAAGACAAAGCCGATAACTTGTACCCATAATAACCTGAAAGCTTAAACGCCTCAAATCCTAACTCGAATCTCGAATTGTTCGCATATGCCAATATCAACATATCAGCGATAATCGAATTGACGCAAACATTGTCACACATTGAAATAGCATGGAAAATCGAGTGAACCGAATGATCAGACCCTTTCCTCACAAACCCATCAAGGAAAGATCGGATCTTAGAGTACCTTTTAGCGTTCGCAAGAGAATGCAATAGCCTGAATGTGAGCTCTAGCGAAACAGAGGTGTCACGGTTCTTCACTGACCAGGTATAGTACCTGAGACACAAATCTGGGTCAAGCTCCGAACAAATCAACTGTTGAAACAGCTCGTTAGGGTTTATGTCTTTCACATGAACTCCAAGCTTTGACCAGTGCTGCTTCTCTATGAGGTCAGCGATGACAGCTACGTCTACGCCATATCTAGGAGGGCAATGGCTCCCGGCGATTGAAGCTGAAGAAGAACACGGTCTTCTTAGACCTGAGAATTTTCTCGGGAAATCATCTATGAAATTCAAAACTTTTCTCCTTACGGCTTGGGATTTGGGGAATATTGATTCGAAATGAAGAAGAAGACTGGGATTTCAGGGTTTTGGTATTTTGAATTGAACCGGCCATCTTCCCATTTTATACAATTTCAGATTTTTCTTTGCAAAATGACACCTGTAGTTTAACAAAATTTAGGAAACTACCACTGAATTTTGTAGAGAACATATAAGTGAACCTTCAAAATTGGGTCTTAAATTAAGTTAAAAAAACAAAGAGACGTTTGATTTGAATAATCCATTAACAGATTTGAGCTGAGTCTTTCCTGTTTTAATTTCTTCGTTTAGAACAAGATTACAACAAAATTCTTTCTCATCACTCACTCTTTTATAGCCACTTGTTTCTGGCGAAGCGCTCTCCAGCCAATGTCACGCCTAAAGAAACCTCCGGGCCAATGGATCTGTTGCACCGCCCCATACGCTCTTTCGCGTGCCTCTTCCAAGTCTTTACCCTTCGCTGTGACCCCAAGAACACGTCCTCCACTCGCTACAACATTCCCTTCTGAATCAAGATCCGTTCCCGCATGGAAAACCTTCACTCCTGGAGCAACCTTTTCGGCTTCTTCAAGGTTTTTGATGATTGATCCTTTCTCGTAAGCACTGGGATAACCTTTACTCGCCATTACAACCACCATCGCTGAATCTTTTGACCAGTCGAGAGACACTCCGCTTAGCTCGCCTCTACAGGCTGCTAGCAGAACTTTTGCTAGGTCCGATTCAAGCCGCATCATTAGCACCTGTGTTTAACAAGAAGCTGCACTGGTTAGAACAACAATCAAACCGGGACTAAACCCGATCTTTTTCTTCTCAAGAAAATGGGGTCTCTCTTACCTGACATTCTGGATCTCCAAACCGGACATTGAACTCAATCAACTTAGGCAGACCAGATTTCTTCTCGATCATGAGACCAGCAAACAGAACGCCTATAAACTTACATCCTTCTTCTGCCATTCCTTTAACAGTGGGATGAATGATAGTGTCCATTACCACATCTTGCAGCTCCTTGGTCAAGACCGGTGCAGGAGAATACGCTCCCATTCCGCCTGTGTTAGGACCGGTATCTCCATCTCCAACTCGCTTGTGGTCCTGAGCAGATTCTAAGGGAATGGCGTTTTCTCCATCCACAAGCGCGAAAAAGGAAGCTTCTTCTCCCTCTAGAAACTCCTCCACGATCACCTGACATCCTGCAGAACCAAACACACCTTTGACCAGCATTGAATCCACAGCTTCAAAAGCCTCCTCTACTTTCAACGCAACAGTGACTCCTTTTCCTGCTGCTAATCCGTCTGCTTTAACCACGATCGGCACACCTTGTTCTTGAATGTATTCTTTCGCAGCAGATGCATCAGAAAATGTTTTATACTGCATTTGAATTCCATTTCAACTGTATTAGCTACATCAAAATGTCTTTTTCCTTATGTTGAGACCAAAGCTATATAATTGTTTTTCTTATTCTAATTTACCGAACCCTTAACCAACTCACAACAGCTCCAATGTGCTACATTCATTCCTAGGCTAGATTATAGTAGACCTGAGCTAATAGTTGCGCCACTTCAGTTTTTTCAAAGCTTATAAATCTATCTGGTTGAAGAATATGAACAAAGTTCACTTTCCGGTCAAAATAAGCTTTTCATTTGCTATCTGAAGGAAATTCTTTTCATAATCATCTGAAGACCTTATGAATGCCTTATGAATGCCTAACACATCAAGGAGGGAAATTTACGAAAAATGAAAAAGAGAGAGTGACGCAAACCTTAGCAGTAGGGATGTTGTACTTGTGGCAAAGATCCTTCATAAAGTTCTTGGAACCTTCCAAAGCAGCAGCTTGAGAAGAAGGGCCAAAGGTGAGGATACCGGCCTTAACCAGGTCGTTGGCGAGACCCGCAACAAGAGGAACTTCAGGTCCAACAACCACTAAACCGACATTCCATTTTTGACAGAAAGAGATGACAGCTAAACTGTCTGATATGTCAAGGGCAGGTATGCAAGTAGCATCTCCAGAACTCGTAATACCGGGGTTTCCAGGTGCGCATAACACAGAGTCACAGGACGGAGATCGTTTCAAGGCGTGACACAGGGCGTGTTCTCTCCCTCCTCCACCGATTACTAGAACTATCACTCTCTCCTCTGCAGAAATTGAAACAAAATTACTACAAACACAATGACTACAAAACACTGACGTTTGATTTCTCAGAGCATAATTTGATTCTATCTCAAACCAATAATAAGAGAATGGGGAGTATATTAGCATTCAGATTCAAACTCTTTACAATCACAGTCAACAACGGAATATCAAAGCTAGCAAATTTGTTCATTGAAAAATTTAAATCCACTGAACATTATCAAAGTAAAGCGAGCAAAAGGGTATCGCCGGATTTTACCAGAGCCGCCGTTACCGCCGGGACTGACCGAAATAGACGGCTCGGATTCCGATAAGACGCAGCGGAGCAAACATTGGCGCCTTTGGATTTGGTTCGAAGTGAAACGAGAGCTAAGGGCGTGATTGGTGGTAGAGAATTTGAGAGGAGCAACAAAGGAAGAAGAAGAATTAGAGGTGGCCAATCCGAGAGAGAAAAGAAAGGGTTTAGGTGAGTTGTTGTTGCTGCAGAAGAGATTGATAGAAGAAGATGAAGGATGGAAATTAGATGTACACAACGACATGTCGGAAAGACCGGAGGAAGAGACAGAGACAGCAAAAGAGTTTTGGACTCAGACCAGCGTCGCT